AGAGTCTTTGACCGAATGGCAAGTCCATGGCGTGTACACAGCCTGTTAACTCTACTACAACACACGACGCTCTGGATCCTTCTACCACGGCCAGTCGTAACAACGTTCATTGCATTAGCTGCTATTGGCAAGGTCTTTACTCCGTTGTGTCAAGTTACTTGCAGCAACTTGCCTTACAGCTTTACTTCAAGTGAGCAGCAGATAGCCATTGCGTAGAAGCAGCTTTATTTACGTGTAGCAACTTGTTCAATACATACAATATGCCTATGGATATGGATATTGGTTTGGTATTTTGAGATGGAAGGATATGGGTATATACAACGCATGGGAAGAGAGTGCATCCATTGTTGATTTGACCATTGTGCTTGGTGCTATGTGATCCTGAGCGATTTTGGTGCATTCAATTATCGTACTTTGCAGCAGCTACAACCAGTCAATCATGTACAACAATCACCGTTGTTATAATCTACGCCATCATGCACCAAGAGCCACTTCACATACATCCATCCACTTTGCTAAATTCATGATCAAAGGATAGCATCACCCAAGTCGACGTATCCCCCGTTAAAGCAATTCGTTGTCCCTCTCAATCTATCGTTTGTGAATGATGGTTGGATTAAAGGAATACTGTACTTTGGCGTATAAGAGATGGGTTGGTCAACCACTTCTAGGTTCTATAGTGTAAGAGACTTTCCTTCTTCCTAAGTCGGATCGCATTATGTATGGGCACTTGATACATTGTATTATGATACAGAGTTATCGGTATTGGCAAATGCAAGTTGCATATACCTATCCACTTGTAATAAAGTTGTGATAAGGATAAAAGAGAGGAAGAGAAAAGGGGGCTTTGACCGATGCATTGTAACTTGAATAAGGCTGTACATATTTGATAACATAGCTCATCTCCCTTTTCTTGTGATGGTGATCTTGTCAATAATGTGGTAACACACGTTCCTCTTTGTGAGTTATATCTTTGTAAGGTGGCTATATTAGTATAGGGCGGGAGCGATATACAATCTTAGTGTAATAAATGCGCTTTCTACTAGTAATAGTTGAGTCCTAGTATCCAATCGTGCAACATCATCTTTGATCCTGCTATTGCATTCCATCATCATTGCCCATCCACCCCAACCACAACATTATCCATCCACGCATAACATTTAGAGAATACAAAAGAATCTTTGTTACGCACTATCTACCAGCATCTCATTGTTTTCCTTTTTCCTTAGCCTCTTGATAAGTGCTTCTCCATTCTTACTCGTTGCAAACTTCGCCTTGTCATTTGGTAATCCAAGTGCTTTGAGCCTGTAGAGAGTGAAACAGGTTGTTCAATGTAATGCAGGCCATAACCGGTTCACCTCACTTACAGGTATACAATATCGAAAGAGGATTTGATGTGTGAGACATTTGAAGCTTCGCTTGAGACAATAAAATGGTCGCCATTGGTAACGCGAATAAGTTCCTTGCTCGTTTGCAGCACATAGGCGCGTTTTGTATCATCTGCATCACGTGATCCATATGCCCATGAGTATCACCAATGCAATACACAGCTTCTTTCTCCTCCTTCCTTACCGTGAATGCCATGACTATAGCATAACTCAAAATAAACACCACGTGCTATGGCTTGTTTTACCAAGAGTGGATCCAGTCGAAATGATAATCGCTTGCCTGAATCCAAAGATATGATATCAATGTCGTAGGTGGAGCATGCTTCTTCAAACACACGTGGATTGGAAGTACGGATGGCTATCAATTGATATTTGGATCGTAATGCTGCTAATGCTTCCTGTGAAGACGTGTGAGTGAGAGAGAAGGAGGGTAGAGGATGATGACTTTTGTTACCTTGGATACGGGTTCATCAATTTCGAGCGTGAGTCGCGTGAGCTGAACAACAGGATGTTTTATATCGGTCGTGCTGATCGGCTCGATCGTCAACGTCTGCAAGGGGTCAATGGAGTGTCAGAGGCAAAACGTTGCAAGGTCGTGTTGGATATGAACCTGTTCTGGTGCACATTGATCGGTTGTGTAGTTGAGAGCCACCACGCTTTCTGCCACTGATCAACAATGTAAGCAAGTGGATTGCACGTTGAGAGAGAGAGATCCACTCACATTCACTGTATCGAGCGAGGATCAGGCGAAGACGGTTTGGGTTTTTGGCATCGTTCTTTGTGTAAGGAAGGTTAAAGTCAAAGTACATTTTTGGAGGGCTAAAAAAGGAGAGAACAAAGGCAACATGCACGACACATACACACATGTGGTGTAGTCGGGATTTGACAAAATGAAATCCTCCTCCTCCTCCCTCCACAACAAAGAATATTAGAGTAAGGCTTGGACCAAAAATGGTCATCTTTAGTAGTACTGCTGATAAGAAAAAAGAGTAAACAACCAATTGATATGGGAGAATTAAAAAGTAAGGAGGAAAACTAATAGAAAGCGCAGCAGGAGCGCATGTTTTAGTCTCCCTGAGACTAGCTGGATGAGGAGAGTGTGTGGGTAGTGATGTGGGTCTATTGAAGAAGCAATAATAAAGTAATAGAGAATGGGATTTTTTTAAGAAAGAGGACCAACAGGGAGGGTGAAGTGTGATGATTCCTTGGTCAACAAGCCTGCCAATGCAATATACCATGCAATGACGGCGGTGACAACACCCATGGCACCACCACCCACCTTGCAGGGGGTGCTGCCGTTGAGATCAGAGGCTGCCAACAAAATAAAGGTGATCTCCAAACAGAAGAAAAGGACCATAAGAGCAATGTTGGCTCGGTGGGTAGCAATCAACATGATACCAGTGAAAATGGCCCATGCAACCAAAAAGATACCAAGGGAGTGATGAAGCTGATCAGGCACCTTTTCATAGGCACCCAAGATGTTTGCTCCGGGAATGAACATGATGGCATAAGAGAGCCAAAAACCACCATAGCTGGAGAAGGCAGTGGCACCAAATGTGTTGCCCGTCTTGAATTCCCACATACCAGCCAAAAGCTTTATAAAAGAAACATGATGATGAATATGGGGTCCCATGGTGGAAATACACAAATGTTGTTACTTACTTGTACAAGACCACCATAAAAGAAAGCAAGACCAACAACGACATTGCTTGGGGTACCATCAGGCATACCAGCGTTGGCATTATGAAGAGAAAGGACAAAGGTCGTCAAGGCAAAAGCACTAAGACCCAAAGGACCTGGATTGGCGATTGGGGGTGATACAGCAACAGCTGGTGGTGGTGGGTATTTGCCCTCCAAGTCGTGGTGATGATCAGCTGAAGACATGTTGTTATAGCGTAAAAGTGATAGAAGAAGAAGAAGGGATGATATGGAGAAAAGAAAACGATATTCTTCCGGTCTTTTGGATTGGCATTGGGGACTTCATTTATATACACAGGGTCCCTTCCGTATCCACGCAGCTATTAAAAGCTTCCGTGTGTGGGTGTGCGTGCAGTTGATTGGGAGGACATCCTCCACAACCAGTCAACAGCAGGTAAGGCAACTGCAAATTCCCATAGCATATACATACAATTCTTAGCTTAACCCCTCTCCTTCACTATCTTGAGCCCCTTGATATCCCTCATACATGAAGACACCCTGATTGAAATGATGCAAATTGGGGAAAGAAGATTGGTACCAATAGACAGGTAAAAAAAGTGGAGAAGAAGCATGTATCACCCCCTTTTCTTCAAGCCTTCTTTAGGGAGTAGAGAGCGCTTGCAATTACTTTTTATGAAAAAGCTGTCCAAAGCCATGATCACAATCAACGTGTGTGCACGCTTTGAAACGTTTGATTATCTATAACAACCCATACCCCAGATCACATCATTCTCATGATCTTGTAAATACAATCATGCAACTCTTAATTACTCCAACTCTGGATCTGGTGATCCTGCCATATACCAGCAGCAGCCGTCTACCTTGCTGGGTACCTGCAGGCCTTTGCTTCGTTTCTCCTCTTTTTTTCTTTTGACCCCTTTTTTACCACAAAGATGCAGTGAAATACCTTTCCCCTTCAAACAATTCTATTTGTGAGTGTGATCAGCAAAATTGTTGTTGATGCACATCTCGTCGCTTGAATTTCGATTTTTGCACCAGCTCTTCGTACATCACTCCCCCCGCGTTGCAGATATCTATTTACAACCAAATCCATAATGTTTGAAAGATCATTATTCTTATACTTATTGCACGTGGATATGGTATCATTGTGCTCATTGCAATTGAGGATATGGGTAACAAAATGGGATCAATGACAAAGGAGACCAAATAGTGTATCCGTGCACCAAAGACAAAAGAAAATGTAGGTTGAATCGCCGTCCAAACGTTGGCTGTTGTTGCATGATCACTTGGGATCAGTGATCTTTTAAGCTCGTTTAAGTATACTATCCGAGAAAAGAAGGTTGCTTTCCCGCGTAAAAAGAAACATAGGTCTGATCCCTTCATGCCACATTGGTATCATACGTAGTTGATAGTAGCAGCTACCTAGATGCATCGTGTGGCATTCGCATGCTGCTTCGTTTCTTTATCACCATCATTCATCAAAGCATCAAACTCTATAGCATGTTGGCAATTGCAAGTATCAGTAGCATCGACCGGAATGGGATCGGAAGCGTGAGAACAAGGTTTTCGGTGTAGCGGTTATAGTAAGACTTGCAGTATTTGTTTTACGCCGTTTCCCCTTATCAGACGTTTCCGAGTGATTGACATTTGTTTATACTCCCCTTGAACGAGGGACACGGTCTCGCAAATATGCATAAGCAGCCGTGTTGTTGTGTAAGTAAATGGGCCTCAAAGAGAATCTCCATAGGTACATACATGATGATGTGCATCGTGCTACTTTCATAATAATATGGGTATGGCCATGATGATGATTATTGCATATGCGAAAACGCCATCATCATTATTACATCTTGCATCCTTTTATGTAAAGGAAACAACGAGCACGTTGTAATGAATCAAAAGGATTTCTGCGCCACTCCATTGCAAACAAAGAAAAGGAGCTGAAGCAGTAGCAGCGTTAGCAGCACGGAATAAACATTCACAAAGGCAGCGATAACGTGTAAGAAATGTGCATCTTTCAACAGCAACCAGAGAACCCCCTGTGTGCGTGCGCCATAATCATGGGGATGTTGGCTGTTGTTGATCAAAAAAAGGTGTCTCATCTTGTGAATCCCAAATTGAGCTGTACTCCTCAGAAGGAATGCAATGGATACAATGCATGTATACAGTAGCAAACCATCCCTATCCATCATAACAGCCAACCACCCCTTGATTTTATCAGTCCAAGTGATGATAATACGCACACCTCATCATTACTTCAGACAAATCCAAACCCTTTCCTCATCTCCCAGCCGTGTGGATGGTAATAAAAAGTTGTTTTCCCCTTTACAAAAATGACCAACTTGCACGCTTTCTTGATGCAATCATTTCAAAAGGGCAAGCGTATTATCCTGCATCCACATCTCAGTAATAAAAATATCCAAGATCATCTCTTGATGCATATATCATACATTTCCAGAGTGTATGCTCTTCTCCCTTCTTCCTCAACTTTATCATTTATATCCAATGCAAAGACACAGCAGCAGTAGATAAGATGCCTTCAGTATCAATAAGCTCGAATCATGCGAGAACCCATTCCAAAACACAAAAATGCGGGGAGTGATGGCTGATCCCATCCCATATTGCATATCTACTCCACGAAAAAGGGAACGTATCCATGTCGACAGGACATGTACATGCATGGCATTGGCATGGATACATGACTTTTATAGCTGAATGAGTGTAAAGGCATTGAACAACATGGCAGCTTTTCGCCTCGCCTTGCCATTGTCGACCCGCCCATGGGCAAGTGCAAGTGACGATGGTACTACCGGTTCATGGTATGACATCCTCTTTTCATGGCGTACATCCAATAGTGCTAACCTAATACCTAGCACATGAAGCACTTGTTTTGACTATAAGCATCTTTATTCTCCAATAATATACAACCAACAAGTCATTGGCAGAAGATTGGTGATCACCCGTCATCATGCCTCATGGCTAATTCAGAAAGCGGCTAATGTATGTGGAATGCTGTAGATCGGCCAAAGTGTATGTCTTGATACCGCAGGTGCATTCGTTGTTGTAAGGATGTGGTGATGATACCTCGCATGTAGATTCATCATGTTAGTGATTGATTGAACATGTGACTTTTGCTCATCACACATACACAAAGAGAAAGGGTGTTGGTTTGTATGACCATTTTCTCATTTTGATGCCTGTTCGTTGAAAATGAAAGACAAGTAAACTGATGATGGGTATTTTTTTTCCTTACGGAATGATGAATCGATGCATAAATGTGTACGGGCGTTGATTTTAATCTATCCCGAGCGAGCGTTTCTACCCCGAGAATGACTGCGATGTGGCGACCGTGCAGTATAGCGTAGCCATGGATACCTCGTTCCCCCCTTTTCAAGGCGCTTGATCTTTTTCAACAACCCATGTGATGATAAATCCAACATCATCTACCATCATCCCAATGTAAAAGTAATGTCGGCAAGCCCTGCATTTTTTCTTCTTCCGACTTGGCCTATGCGCTTACCATGATCGCGTGTGTGTACATACGTGTGTATCACATAATATAAACAATGCAGCAACAACATTGTAGGTGATGGTAAACATATCGGTGTCACCCACATAAATAAAATTCCAATCCAGCCCATCACTTTAACAAAGAGAGAGCGCTTTGACATTGCTGTGAACGACGATTGTACATGTATGTGCGGGTTTGTTTTAATGGAAATACGCTTACCCCGCCCTTTCCATCACTTTTAACCCCTTTATGAATGGTTGTGCACTTACATATCACAAGGGGGCGTTCCCGCCAAACAAAAAAAGGAAAGAAAAGGTTGTATGTGTGATATGAGTGTATCCGTGCGTGCGTGTTTGTGATCGATCGTGGGGAGAAAAGGAGAGGGAGGAGGGTCAATGTGAGCGAGACGAGTGGTAGGGGTCGTTGTTGTTGAGTATAGGAAAGCGTTCGTTACTCAGACCGCGGGTGGTTGTTGTTGAATGTAAGCAAAGGCATGCAATGAAAAATGTTCATATATGTGGGTGACAAGGCAAACGCATGCATTCATTAAGCAGGTAAAAGTCATGAAGGAAAAAAGAAAATGATCATGGCCATCACCATCAACACCCTACCACCGCCGACGCTGCTGCTGCTTCTCTGCAACTCAGTGGACAAAATGGATAGATGAAAAAATTACTTCCTCGTTTAAGCTTTAAGTGAGCTTACATGTTTTGGTCCTTCCAGGTTGCTCTTTTACACATAAATATCTGCTCATTCCACACACACTCAAACACGTCTTCTTCATATCATGACTGCAACCACTTCTATCAAATCCATGGCAACCGCTCGCAACTTTCCCTGCACCCAATGTCCCAAAAGTAGGTGGATGGATGAATGGCTTTTACCCTTTGATGATGATGGCAACTAACGTATCATTTCTCCAATCCTAGTATTTGCAACAAGATCAAATTTGTGCGTATCTCATTCTGTGAGCGTGTGTGTAACAATTTCCATACGCTTGTGTAGTAGTGGTTTTCTTTGGCGCCATGCTTACCCATTTGCTTTATATAGGAAGCGACACATGGAAAATCCCAACATCCACAATATACCTTACGTACGCAGCCGTGACCAAAAGCGTTGGAAGGGACATTCAAAGAAGGTAGTTTCCAAAGAAGAGACCACTGAAAGGTATATGCATATGATACAACATGGCTGTAAAATACACCATGCTTATACCTATTTGTTTACAGGATGCGTAAATGGCGTGCAGAAAACCGAGAAAAGAATCGACAAAATGATCTTCGATGTCGTGTGTATCGTCTTGCACGCCAAAAGTTTGGACTTGAAGACTCGCCAGAGAAGCAGCAATTTGTGCGAGATGAAATTGCAAGACGACTGGGTCGTCGCATGTTATTGGAGCAGCAGCAACATCGTGTCCCTGATACCAAAGCATGTCGTTCCTCTCCTTTTGTTCCTCCACATCAGCAACAACAACAACAACTCATGTCCTCACCTCAACATGCTGTTGATTTACCATTCTACAGCGCTCCACAGAAAAAGATTGAGCTACCATCCATTTCTCCCAATCTTGCTTGGCGACGCGATAGCACAAGTAGTAGTAGCTCTACTACAAGCAGCAACAGCAGTGTTAGCAGCTTGTCATCACCCACGATGAACACATCGGATTCATATCTTGCCTTGCCACCCATTTGCTCTGAAAATGAGCAATCATCGTCGCCTGTACGATATGTCGAAAACACCAAGATCCTCCACGAGTTTGTTGGTGTCGTTCTCAATTATGCTGACAACAATCATCGTTCCTGGTCACCCTAAGTCATGAAAATAGCATCCACCATCTTTATCATTCATATCCTCTTGCACACACACACACACACACGCACTTAATATCTTTTCTCGCACACACATTTACTACAGCAAGCGTATCATAGTACAAAACAACCACAGCACCCACATTTCTTTACTTTCATATACACACACACACACACGCACACACACAATAGCCTTGTAATCATGGCACATTTGCACATAAAGCAAGCATAATTTCTTTTCTTCATCATCATGGATGTCGATGTTATTAGTTCTATATAGAGCACGTGACGCAATAATGGGCCTTGTGGCTAATGATGCAGTAGTTCATGTACGACGTCGTTTGTGTAACACCGGCATAACCGGCTTCTCAGTCGACATTTGGCAGATCAGCCGACAAGTGTGGAAGGAAATGGCTAGTGTCGGTACCTTGGCATTGTCCGAAAATCAATCAAAAGAGCTACTGAAACATGATATGGATGAATGACTGAATTAGGATAATCACGAACAACTTGTGCAACCATTGGAAAAGTTCCTGCTCCATGAATGATGATTGAAACAAAATGACGTTTTCAAAGGGGAGCAAGGGGTAGGTGGATTATGTTTAGGCGTACGTCATGTTTATCCAGGTACAATTTATGTATATATCAGTGCTCATTTTCCAAGTGCGAATACTCGACGAAATAGTGGGATAGATGAGATAAAAGTATAAGTTTCCCATCAATGATGTAATCGTTTGACCATATTCTCGGACGCGGGACTTGCTTTAGTTTCATGCCACGTCCTCTTTTTCCTTCTCCTCCTCCCCTTTTTACCCTTCCTCCTCCATGTCACCCCACCCCAACACCACAATCCAGGTAAAACGCAACAGGCATTGACTTGCATGTACCGACATCGTCTAATGACAGCAGTATCTTTGAAGAAGAGTAACAGGGATAGTACTGCCTCTTGGTCTCCATTAACAACTGCTGCTGGTGCAAGGGGAGACGACGACGCTACTTCACAAAAGAGTTCCACTTCAGCAGCCAACGACAACAATGAGCCCCATGAGACAATGACAGACACACCTTCTCGAGATTACACGACCATTCCAATACAAGTCTCGACGGACGACACAGCAACAACAGACAATAATGATACGACAGCAGCTACAGCTACAGCAACCACACCTACTTCGCTTTCTCCCGAGCCAGCCAACAGCGACAATGCCAGCAGCCAACCTGATAGGAAAAACGATGCAAAAGTACCCAATATTATCAGAGTCAAGTCTCTTCCATTCTATCGTGGTGGTGTACGTCCTCGCCATGCCAAGATTGTGCGATTCATTGGACGATGTGGATTTGTGGCAAAAGGAGTGGTCTATGGTATTATTGGGGTCTTGATCTTGACCAATGTATCTGGTGCATGGACGCCTAATGGAAGTCAAGGAAATGAATCTCCTCAGGTGAGTGCAAATTGTGTATGTGTGTGTGTGTGTGTGAGTATGATGATCTCATGGGGTCTATTGGTAGGGTGCGTTTCTTTTGTTGGGAGGTATTCCTGCGATTGGTCGACCTATTCTAGTAGTCATGGCCATTGGATTAATCACCTATCTGGTTTGGAGGTAAGAAAAGGAATGGAGGATCATCACCTGATCTCGATCATGACATAAAGTTACAATTAGGTTTTGGGAAGCTATCACTGGACAAGCATTCGATGCCATGTTGAGCAAGCGCACCAACTTTTTTCGATATCGGCTATCACCCATTGTGAGCGGCGGCGTCTATTGTGCTTACTTGTATTATCTCATCCAAATGATATACCAAACCAACGAAGAGCAACAAAAGACAGCATCCAGTAACGAGTTTCCGGCATCCTTCACTGATACAACCGTTGGAAGTGCGTTTGTTGGCGTGTTTGGGGTGGCCTTTATGATTGCATTTGCAACTCAAATTCAAAATGCGGTTACTGGCAACTTTATACCGGATCTCAAAACCTCAGCGCCTGATGCTCGAAAATGGGAAGCACGTATCGTGAATCTATCAGGACGTATCGGATTTGGAGGAAGAGCTGCCATGTTTGGTACCTTGTCTGGCTTTTTTTGGGATTCACTTGCTAAGCGTAATGAATCGGGCAATGTCAATGTGGTGGCAGCAGCTATATCAAAGTTGGCTACACATGATGGTGGCAAGGCATTCATGGTTCTTCTCGGCTTGGGACTCATCATTTACGGCCTTTTTGCCATCGCCAATGCATACTACAAATACTTTCCTACTCCGCCCCCATCACGCATTAACATGTACCAGCTGATTACCGAAGAAGATGACAATGACATGAATAGCCAGGAACAAGATGAGCCGAACAATGAACCCAATCATGGAACCTCGTGGTGGCGCAGATTATGGGATAAACGGCATCCAAAACGTTCTCAGCAGCAATGTAACAATGAAAAAGGAGGAGGGGAAGAGAACCATGTCGAGGCTACTACTACAACAATACCAAATGGCAGGCCACATCACCATGATTCCCAAGACGGTGCATCCACCAATACCAACGATGCTATTGTTTGATCACATCCCATTATTTACATATACACATCCACTCGCTAGTAATATTACGCTACACTTTTAATTCCACCCATCCTAATGTAATACTTGTTAATTAAACTGCTTTAGACATCTATTGCTTCATACGTATACCAGAACCTTCAAGATGCTGATTGAACTAAAAAAAAGTGAACGTCATGCAGAGACAAATCTAAATCAAGGAACTTTTTTTTGTATTTCAAATAAACATGCTACCCACGCCATTCCATGTGTTTCGGCCTTGACAAATATTTAGAGTTCTTTATTGTAGCAACCAACAACAAGTGCTTACAACCATTGACATGAAACATGTAAACCATCGTCAAATCAAAGCATCTCTTCTTCAGGGGAACGTGCGTATAGTCATTCTCGAGGAGAGCGGAATGTCGAAAAATGGATAGTTCCCATCCTTATTGTCTCAAGACCTTTCCGTGTGAAGGCTGTTTATGCTCCACATGACAGTTTGTGCTGCATCAATGATACGTTTTTAAGGCCGTAATCTCGGAAGATGCCCCGCCCTTCCCTGAAGAAGGTGCATATGAAAAACGATTAGTGCACATGTTAGTATGTATAGTAGGATCAACAACAAGCTTTATGTATATTGCATGGAAAGAATGAGATTGGCGGGATGCATGCACACCAACACAACAGGTTAAAAGTATTTACACGTAAACACAAGAGAGATAAATATATACGATGCGAAGGGGAATGAGTATAGCTCATGAAGATGTATCAAGCTGATAAAAGCGGGGTCCTTTCTTCGTCATGGTTAGGGTGGTGATTGTTATTAGGTTGCCATGTCGTCGTCGTTGTCGTTGTGTTCCCCCGCCAATCATCGTTGGATCGACTATTCGTCTCCTTTATGGCGGCGTTTGTCCATAGCGAGGGGTCTTGGCAGTAACGGGGAGGATGAATGGTGCCTTTGATAATGGAATCAATGACACAGAATTGGAATGCATTCATGAATAATGGAAAGCTTTTTGTAATGTAAAACCAACATGAGTCATGGTGATGAAAATGCGTCGTCCTCCTACTTACACAAACATGACAAATACGACTTGATAGCGTGTTTCTTTGATATGAGCCAAGACCCAATCACCCAAATCAAAAATGACGGGGAAAGCTTGAAACGAGGCATAGATGCAAATTTTCATACACAGCGTAGCCAAAACAAATACGCCGGTTTGTACACTCCATCGGCATAGCATCGATGGCCAAAAAGGAGGTGGCCCATAACCATCAAAGAGCGACAATCGAGTAGTAGTAGTAGTAGTAGTAGTAGCAGTGGATCGACGTTGTTTACTACTCAGGATGACATGCTCCAAAGTCCATTCAAGAATACGTAGCCAGAACCAAAGAATGGCAATGCCGAGTGTTGTATCGATAAGAAGACTGAGAAAGTACCATACACAAAGATTGCTGGGTGGGCCGTTCGCAGGCCGACCTGCAAGATAACTGATGCCAAGATTTAAAAAATGAACCGTACCAGCACCAATGAATTGCTTGCTCACATCCAATATCCTAATGATGGATATGCGTATGTGTGTGTTGTATGTATGAGAAAGTGTGGATTTGCATACGTTTTCTTCCTTCCACGTACCATACATTTACAGGTCTTCGTGGTCGTTCTCGCCAACGTTTAATACCCAAGGCTGTCAAGGCCGTCATGGCTAATGTCAGCTGTACAAGAATAGCAAAGCCGTCTAATATTTGACATCCGGGAGCATTATCGTCATCAGTGGAGAGGATATGCATCAAGGGCTATGTAGTGAAAAAGTGCGTGCGTGTGTGTGTGTGTGTGTATAAAATGGAAGAAAAAGGAGGAGTGGCAAATACTGTTTGGGTTGGACACATACACAAAAAAGAGAGAGAGAGAGAGACGCGAAAACAACGTTTCTATCCTCCTGATCTGCTACAACAGAATTGCTACTTTTAGTAAGGAGGACCCATACCAACATGCAACATGAGCAACAGACATGTGCAATCTCGCATTCACAATATTCGTAGTAGGTCACCTGGGAGAGATTCTATCATGATGAATATCGAAATCGCTCATTGGCTAACACGTAATTAGCATGGTTTGTATCTTGACTTAAAGCACGGACCCCAACTTGGTTGTTGAATGGCTCCCCTCTCCCACCTAGGCACCTCCTCCTGATATGCGTCACCGATCCTTGTATATCCATGTTATTGTTTCAGTGTAGTCTTATCAACATTCATTGCATGCTCATTGTAGCACTCTCGATACCCATCCATTGGCTGTCAAGAATGGAAAAGCGCGTGGTTCTGACTATCTCGTGTGCATACGAAAAACAATCATGCACCTCTCGGCAACAAGGGGGCGTTGATTACAATCGCCTTGGTAACACACACACACACAAACACTCAAAACCCTTCCGATGATGATTGACAAGAGTCTCTTTATAAAAGTATGTACACGTGCTTTTCATTGCTTGGTTGACAATCTACAATGTCCATTTTTCTAAACGAGTATCAATATCATCATCGTCCTCCTCATTGACGCCGTTCACAATGGTCAATTCGTCATCATCACGGGATACTTCAGATCCACTTCGTTCTCGTAAAATCTTTTGTTGTAATCCATCACACGATGTGGGCACGGGTGCTGGTTTGACCGGATTACTGCTGCTCCTACGCCTCATCCATTTGATATTGTTGATGTTATCTTCGTTACTTGTATTGGTGATGGAGACTGTGGGCACATCAAAAGCGACCTTTTTCTCCGACGATGATGACGATGATGCAATGGGTGTAGATGCTGCACTGCTCATGACCGATGATTCATCCAAGGTGAATGGAAAAGGTGGGATTTGAGGACATGAGGATCGTCGCATGTTGTTATCATCCGTAGTAGTAGTAGCATGATGGCTGTTGCTGTTGTTGTTGCTGCTGTTGTTGTTGTGGGTCACTCGAATCACAGGTGCAGTGGCTGAACTTGCCAGTGTGGAAGGTCGACTGCTACTATTGTCACCACCACCACTGTTGCCCTCAAACCATGCCAATGACGCCTCAAGCATTTCACGATAACATTCGAGTCGTTGCATATGAAGTCGTTTGCTCTGGATCTGCTTGCCAACCAATTCTGCATAATAAAGAATGCGATCCTTGCTTGATTTTTGTAGCGGTACCAACACCATCAAGTTCCTTCGTAGTTGCAAATCCTGTCGTAAGGGTCGTTCGCATTCGATCAAACGTTGTGAAAGCATCATGACCTTTTTCTAATAAAACCCGCATGTTACATGACATGTCCCTCTTCAACCTTTATCCCTTCCTTACCTTGATCACTTCTTGACGCTTATCACGATGAGAACCCTGACGTGGAGGTCGTAATCGTACATTGTTTGTTTTGCTTGCAGCAGCATAGTTGATTTTTAGCATCCAGTCATCCAAATCGGCATTATTCTTTGCCCGAAGCAAAAACAGCTGACCATCGCCTGTCATGAGACGAAAGACGTAAGGGTATTTCGTATAAGAGTCGTCATGGATACATACAGCGTCGGCTAAGGAAATGATTTGTACCGGTCGTAGCACTTGGGCATTGTTGTTGTTGTTGTCGTTGCTATGGTTACTGATGATGGGTATATTGGAATTGTTGGTTTGCAGTGATTGTTGTGAAGAGAAGGATTCTGTAGGATCATCCATACTGTTATTGCTGCTGCTGCCTGTTGCCATGTACATTGGAAGTGATGGAAAACGACGCGTAGTACTGGCGGTGCTAGTAGTAGATGGCGAAGAAGGTGGTGTATTATTGTTTTTGCTGGCTGCTACCCATGATTCAAATGCACCAAGATCCGAAAAGAAAATAACTTGGCTACCACTCAATACCACACCAAACGGTCGCCATCCACGTGCTGTTGCTTTCTTGCCACCAGGTAACATGTCGTATTTACGTTCGAGAATAGCTGCCTTGGCAACCCGTACAGTGAATTGGGTATCCACGGAAGGTGATGTTTCTCCACGATTGGCGGTGTGATGTTTGCTTCTCACTCCTCCAAGTTGTAAAGGGCGTGCATTGACAAAAGCCGAGTATGCATCAGCAATGGGTAAAGGGCGTAATGCTCGCTTGTAGCAATAAGGATTCTCGGGTGGCATCAATTGAGAGAGCTTGGGATATAAATCATCCATGTTGACCTATGTTAGGATAAAGTTTAATACTCAGAGAGAGAGAGAGAGAGCATTTCTTTGGAAACTTACAGAATTCAAAGTACCACTAGAATCGCTTCGTGCTAACCGACCCAGCCATGATCCTGATCTCTCTGGTGCTGATGGAGGTCTTTCATCATTGCCATCCGCATAAGTGAATTGGGTGGAGACGATGTTGTCGTACATGATCTACACCCCGAAGTGAGTTAGCTATAGGAGGAAAAAGGGAAGGATCGTCATTGTTGTCTTACATCCAGGACTTCTGAAGAGACATTTTCACCACCTTCAATGATCTTTGTACGCATGATAAATGTTTCCTTGTTCATCTTTCGTCGTACATTCTTGTTGTGTGCGTCGGTGTGTAGTAATAAAACAGAAAATGCAACAGCATAAACCGCATCTACGGAGTTGATGATCATCATTATTCTCTCTCGTCTCCTCTTCTCCCTTTTTCTCCTGCCATTGGCTTCCTTCCTTACCTGAACTATCCGTCAAGTCTGGATTGCATTCATGATATCGTTTGGCAAAATCTTCCATGGCACGATCAATCTGCTGAGCTTCTTTAGGAAGTAATGCCTTGGACAATAGTTTTCTATGTTGTATAGAGTGTTATAGAAAAAGACTATCCACAACTTGTAGAAAAGAGACATGTATAGATAAACTCACCTCAATGCCATGTCAATCGCATCGCCACTGAATTCGAGATGTTGCAAATGGTCGTTAAAGGTGACGGGTCGGGTATTGTTGTGTTGCTGCTGCTCCTGCTGCTGCTGCATGGAAGATGTATCCTCAGAAGCTGCCATGTCGCTTGTTTTCAAATGGGTTGGTATATGGGGTGTCGTTGGATAAAGGAAGGCGTTCGTTCAATTCATACAATGGGTAAAGTGAAAAGGTGTGAAAGAGAGAGAGAGAGAGGAGAATATCAGTGTGGCAATAAAGCGAGGAGTGGGAGGAAAAGGAAAGAGGGAAGGACAAAGCGGTGTAACAAACTCGCAAGACGCGCGCCTAAATGAATTGACACTAAATGATTGAGACTAGCCCTAATGACTAACTACTTACAAATCTCCTCCAAAGAATGATACGATAGTATCACCATCCTCCACCCATGCATTCTACTGCAAACGATGCATGATTGCATCTATTTCTATATTACATTGGCACTGTTAAGCATTGTTGATAGTGCAATGCCAGACTACATAGTGGGCTTTGTTGTCATATGTACTCCTGCTAGCTGATGGATAAGAACTCATACATAGAAAAAACGTAAGCGATTATCGATAAGCTAGAACCATCATCCATTGTTATGGATACACCTTTTATGATAACTCACGCGTTGCGTATGTTGATCCTTGCATGTATATACAATCCAGCAATACTCACATCGGGGTATAACTTGAGTCGGCATTTAGGATGAGCAGCCGCTTGTAGATAGCCAGGTACAGCCTCTTTAGTAAACGACAATGGAATCTCACCAATCCTCTTTATGCATATCATTCACCCATTCCTTCCTTCATAAGAGAAGAATAAAACTTTCATTGTCTGTGATTGTTATGAATGCAAAGATATTTCCTTTCTTAGTCAAAGTTGCCCACATGATGTGATGATGAAGAGCTCACACAACACCATTGGATGCAAGGGGGGCCAATGCATTTATCAATAACATACGCATAATCGATCGCCGTGATCAATACATCTTGGTATACATAGCATAACACGAAACTCATGGTTGTTTATGTAAGGATTTGTTTACATGCAAATGGGCTGAAGGGATTGTAATGGGGATGGATGTAGAGCCTGATTAAATTGCCGTCTGGACGTCAATGCTAAATCACCTTTCGCGAGCTGACAGTTCATTATCACTCTTCTCCACCACCACCACCTCCTCCTCCTCTCATGTTGGCCAAGCTCATTGATACCATTAACCAATGCCGAACTCTGTCACAACAATGCCACGACGTCGCCATTAAGCGTGACACTGCCGCGGAGCATTACTTTGATCGGATCCACCAGCATTTACAAGATGCCTTGTCGTCCAAGAACGCAACACCACCACCAACCGCCATTCCTGCAGACAAAGTACAACAATCCTCTCCAACACCAGATAATAAAGAGAAGCAACAACTGCCATCATCAACAACTGAAGTGGACGCTATTCTTGCTGAAAACAAGCAACTCAAGGAAAAGCTGCAGCAAATGCATGCCATATTTGTCAACTTGAAAGGATCGGCAGCCACAATGACCGATATAGCCACGCAGCATACCAAACGAGCCAAGATTGAGAAAGAAGCAACCTCCAATCTACGTCAACAAGTCAACGATTTGATGAAAGAGACTGAAAGGATACGATCAGAACGAGATGCTTTACAATCACAAGTACAGCAATTACAGCAGCAAATCAATGCATTGGATGAGAGCAAAGAGGAATTGTTGAAAAAGCCACGCGTTGGCGATGTTGGTGATGAGATGCGACAGGTAATAAGGAAGAAGGAGGAGGAGGAGGAGGAGGGAATGATGAGATGATGGCATTCCTGACAGGTTACCTTTTGCAGAAAATTGAGTACTTGATATCCATGCGAAAAGCCGCTGAGACAGCATTACAAGCGACAATGGATTCCCAGGTGGAAGCTGAAAACCAATCCCGATCCACTATCAAAGCACTACGAAGCAATATCGAAGCATTGACCACCGAGTTGGAGAGTGAAACGAAAGCCAAAAATTACTTCTATGCTGTGTGTGACACTTTGGGAAATGATGTAAGGACAACAAGAATGTTGCTGTATTTCTCATGTTAAAGCCATTGTATAGCTTCAAGCTTCGAAGGAGAAGGTCAAAGCACAAGTGAGCAAGGTCGCAACCGAACGCTCGAAGGCGGCACATCTACAAAACACCATCAATCAATTGCGTCAATCCAACAAGGTAAATAAAGGAGCAATCCAATTTTGCATGATATGTACTCAATGGATGTGATGTATAGAAAAAGAAGGATAAAATGACCGAGCTATACCGGGTATGTATATGGATACAAGGTGGGAGCAATGGTGAATGGGATTAACCCTCCTTTATGTACAGAGAATTGCCATGCTGGAAGCTCTACAGACCACACCCATGGCCGTTGATAACAATCCTGCAGCCAAGAGACCACGGATAGAGTAGAGTGGGATATGGATCCATAGGATGGCACGTGGTGAATATACTCGTCGAATCAATGAAAGGTTCATGTTGTTGGATATGATGATGATGATGATGGATGGTGATGGGACATGCCAAGATGATAAACTATGTATGTATGTGGCAAGGGATCTTCGATGATGATGATGATGATGATGAGCAACTAAACCATATATTATCGATGGTGCAAGTTTCGTCCGGGTTCGCTCCCAAATAATCTAGTTTTTAGGGAGAGGGGGGTCGTGGTGGGGGAAGGCACACCCGAGGTCGCACAAACGTGCTGCATTATGGATAACTCCTCATCCGGCGCGCTCGATTTATACACAAGAACGAACAACCCAAGATATGTGATGCAAGACACGTTTCTGTAAAACATGCAAAACAACGAGAAAAAGAGGTAAGAGTAACCCGATTACCATTACGCATACACATTTTTTGTGACACCCCATCATCGTTTGTCTCTTCTTCCTTTGACTCTTATCCTCTCCCCCCTTAGAAGTGTCTTTTTTTCTCTTTCACTTTCTTTACGCTTTCTTGTCGTTTTACTGTGCATCCTCCCTTTTTCTTTCAGACCAATTGCTCTCCCGTTTCCGGACTGCTGTGCCAAATCCTTTGGAGAACAACATCATCATTTCTCTCTCTTTTCTTCTTTTCTCTCTCTCTCTCTCTCCCCTTTATCTTTCTCCTCACTTTATAAAAAAACTAGTATTCTTTTTTATTTTTGCTCTCTTCTCTCTCTTTCTCTCTCTTACACTCTCTTGCTCTCTTTCTTTCTTTCCCCTTGTCACGTTTTTCGACCGCCTTTTCCAGTCGTTAGTGCAGTAATTGACAATCGACCAACACCCATTGCTCTACATGATGACCATGCTTGTTCCTTCTTCCAACGCCACAGCAGTGGAAAGTCAACCACCACCACCTCCTACCACAACGGCGTCAACTGCTATTCATACTCCGAGCTTGTTTGCAACAACGGATGAAATGCCATCAGCAGGTCCCCCACCTTCTCGGTCATTTTCGGTCATGGCACCGACAGAGTTACAGCGATCTGTGCAACGACAATATGATACAACGACAACTACGGAAGACTTGCCGTGGTGGCAACATTACTACCAAATGTATCATTATCATCCCCCACAAGGAAGAAAACCTACTCTCTTTGGTCCCTACTTGTTGTTGCACACTTTGGGCGAAGGCGAGTTTGGCAAAGTCAAATTGGGCATTCATATCGATTCAAGTCAAGAGGTAAGAAAAAGATGATGCTAAAGGAGGAGGAGGGGATGACTGATTTCTTTTATAACAGGTTGCTATCAAGCTGATCAAAAAGGACAATATTGATTCTTCTACAAGGATGAGCAAAGTTGAACGAGAGATATCTGTACTCAGGGTATGTTAATCACATTATTGATTAACGGTGATGGTGGTGATGCTTACATCTATTGAAAATTAGACGGTTTGCCACCCCTATATTGTTAAACTGTATGACGTGATCGAAACAGAAAAGTACATTGGAATCATATTGCAGTGTGCCTCAGGTTGGTTAGCAACGTGGGTGGATTGTGTATATGAATACATATATAGGCCAATGAACCTCACCATCACCATCTCTCATGAAATCATCATCAAGGTGGCGAATTGTTTGAATACATCCTTGCGCATCGATACCTCAAGGAACGTGATGCTTGTCGACTTTTTGCTCAGCTGATAAGTGGCGTTCACTATATGCATCAAAAGCACATTGTTCACAGAGACCTTAAACTGGCAAGTTCCACAAAAGGCAATCTTATTGTGTATACGTCATTCTAATATGGATGATAGGAAAACCTATTGCTTGATCGTGATCGCAATGTGATTATTACCGACTTTGGATTTGCAAACCAATTTTCATCAGCCAAAGATGATTTGATGGCAACATCGTGTGGATCCCCTTGTTATGCAGCACCAGAGCTTGTAGTGAGCGAAGGCATGTATGTTGGGTCAGCGGTTGACATTTGGTCATGTGGTGTAATCCTCTATGCCATGTTGTGTGGGTACCTGCCATTCGATGATGATCCAGCCAATCCAGAAGGCGACAATATCAATTTGCTATACAAGTACATTCTCAACACACAGCTTGCCTTTCCAGACTATGTGAGTGATGGTGCTCGTGATTTATTGCAAAAGATGCTGGTGCCAGATCCAACAAAGCGATGTACAATGCAAACGATCATGGAGCATCCTTGGCTACAGCCCCATCGTGACCTATTTAGAAAGACGATCGATGTATTGGAACGAGAAGCAATGGAAACGGCCGACTTGCCGATGCCTGTCAATAAGAAGAGCAATGGCCAACAAAAACATCAACAACGCAATGATCAACAAAGCACTGCTGAAAAAGAGCACAATGTGCAACACACGAGACCTTTGAACGACGATCATTGCACAACCGACTTGAGCACCCCTGCAGCTATCTCGGCACCTTCTTCCGACGATGCCATAGTGCCTTGCAACCTACCCATGGATGTTGATTCCGAGCACCAAGTGCCCGACATTTCCGAACCCTCAGCATCGAATGAACAACTTGAATGCAATGTCAAAGGAACAATGACAGCTACTTCTGATCTTGCTGTGCCTGAAATATCTTCAATTGAATTACCAGCATCCATGCATACAAGCGCTTCTGAATCGACTACCATGGCAACCGACAAGCATCAAAAGGAGGATCCTATTGAGGAACAACAACAACAACAGCCCATTGTTCCCACCACAACCACAACAACAACGACACCAGGAGGTTCCATTTTACAGGCAAAGTTTTTATCCAGCATTCAACGTCAAGGCAACGCACAACAACAACAGCAACAACAACAACCATTACCATCATCCTCGCATTATCATCATTCAGCTGCATTGAGTAAAAGTACACCACCACAACAGCCCATTCCGTTTTCCATCACATCAACGAGCACTCGCCATCGTTCACCTTCCACAGCATTGCCATTGCATCCACCACCACAAAAATCTCATTACGAGCCTAGGCGTAAAGCACTTAGCTTGCTTGTCAATTCCGTGGCAGATCATTTACAAGTGCAACCATCGACTTCGGATCGTCATCATCATCACCATCATCATCATCATGCTGGCAGAAAAGGAATGGCCTTTTCACGTAAACAAGGCAATCGTGAACGTGCTCAAAGTGTCTTGAGTCAAGGTCGTTATAGTGGATTTCGAGGTGTTGTTGGTAAAGGGTCTGAGAACAGCAACGATGCATTGCCTCGCAGTTCCATGCACGTCATGCCTTCCGTATCTGAACGCGCTGGTGTCTTTAATGACAAGGACAAGCACAAGAGTGCAGGAAAGAAGCTCATGGAATGGTTTAAAAAGAAGCCTCTTAGTAAGTTGGTCCCTTTCTTTCTTTCTCATATACAGAGTATGGATATTGACATGCCATTTCTTTTTAGGTACCAAGGATCGATCCTTCAATCATCTTGCCCACGGTGATTTATTGACTTCGGATCGCCCGTTGAGTTCACTCCATAGTCCCTTGCGAGCGATGCCACTTGGCAAATCATATGCTGTCGATTTCAACGATGCCAAATTGCGTACGCATCATGGTGCTGTGGATCAAGAAGCACTTACCTCTGGATCCCCTATGGATGTGCTTGTGGAAGTGAAGCAAGTTTTATTGTCCATGGGCATTGAAGTGAAAAAGGATGGCGATTACAAGCTCAAATGTACACGACAACGACGTAAACGACCCAATTCTATTACAGCAGCATCATCTAATAATCCACATTCCTGTAATGAATCAGCCACATCATCATTATCCAATGCTCGTTCGGATAAGAAACGACGTATGAGTACAAGTGCTCCTTTCCGTAAATTGCTTAGACGCAATGGTGGTGATGATTCATCCTCCTCTTCGGTGTTCCAACAAGGCGAGACCGTCTACGGTGACCCGGTTGTCGACCCCGGTGAAGAAGTGCGCTTTAGCGTGGAATTGTGCAAGATCAAAAACTTGCCGGGTCTTTACATTGTTGACATCCGACGTATGCGAGGCAATGTTTGGGCGTACAAGTTTTTGTATCACACCTTGCTTGACACCCTCAACCTCAGTGGCAAAGGCGGCTATATCAAATCACACAACACCACAATGAAACAACAACAACCACCACAACAACAAGCTGTTCATCCTCACCCTCCTCCTCCAGCAGCATCCTCCAGCACAACTTCTACCTCCACCTCATCTTCTCAACATCGTAGTAGTAGTATCCGAAATAATACCAATCGCAATAGCTGCTCAAGCAGCGGCGGTAGCAGCAGCATGCTCGAAGATGTCAAAGAAGAAGAGTAATCATCATCAACAACAACAACAACAAAAAGCATTGCATCACACCTCCCTCATTCGTTTTAGCAACCCATCCTTCTTTTTTCTTTTTCTTTTGCAGCATACCGTTATTATACCAAGTCTACTTAGCTCTCTACATCATTTTTGAGCATGAGATTAAAATCACCCTTTTGAGAGCCATCGATGCTCTTGCTTCATTACACAACATGGTTGACATGATCTCGCTACTGATATCCGAGACCAAAAGTAAACTCGGTTTTTCGGATCCGGTGATCCGGTATGTATTATAGAGGTTTGTTGCATTTACCCATCATCCAAAAAAAAATGAATCCTTCCTTTGCATGTAAACGACAAATGCATGAGGGACCGTATACTGTAGGTATGCAAAGGACGTGGTGCATTGATCATGGCAAGTACTAAGTCCTATCCTAACGTATCGGAGAGCCCAACAAGGAGGGATTACACAATAAGCATACGGAGCCTCCTAGTCTTCTCGATGGTGGTGGCGCTATAGCATAGCTATGTACCGTATTCCTTTGGTTGGATTTCAGCCATCCTGTTGTATGCCTTATTCAACCCTCCAAACAATTGACACTCATTGTTTGCTGGTATACCATCCAAGCGAGATACACATGATAAGCACACGTATCGTTTGATCTGCTTATATGTACATTAGCGTTGCATCAATAGGGAACAGGGATGGATAGTTGGAAATAGAGAGAGAGAGGTGCTGATAAAGGAGAAGCCATTCGAAAGAAAAAGGGGGGTTTTATCATGCTCTGCTGCTGGGTACGACGTTGTTGTAAGATCACTCCATAGGCTGCTGCTGCGTTGCTGCCTTTCTTCCTTTTCCTTTCCTTTGTCTCTTTTTTTTTTTACCTTTATACTCATATAAACGCTCAATAGAATGCTGTTGCAATATACGCTACAAACGATTTTGATTCTTCCAAGCACAGCAGCATTATTGTTGGCTGTATGCTTGCTATCTCTCCAATTATTTGTTGTCCCTTTGCATTTTCTGCCGGATGCCGTTGTCACCCGATTAAGGCGATCTCGTGCATCACACTGCAACTCGCTCGTGTCAACTGATGCTTCCCTTGTCAAATCATACGATTATGTTATAGTTGGAGGTGTGTGTGTGTATGCGCTGTAAGCCTATTTGCACGTGTTGTTGTCATTCAATGTGTGTGCATTGTTGTCTTACGATTCCCATCCTCATTCAGGTACACTTGCGAGCCATATTAACTTTTTACGGCTTCAAAGCCAGAATCCAAAAGCATCCATTTTATTGCTCGAACCACCCCTTGAATACCGCTCTTTGATATTCACGTTCTTTGCTGGATTGGATTTAGGTGTACATCACAACGTACCCGTAAGTTGTGTACCCTTTGCATACTGTTGTACGCGTCAAGGAGATGTGTTAACCTGATTGTAGTATTTTCGAGCTTACCCATTTTATCGATCAACATCTGCAGCAGAACTTGGACGTGGTTCACCCCATGTACGGCGAATCATATCCACATTTCAGTTATTGATTGACGAGTTGGCTCAAGATTTGGCAGCACATGAAGATCTCAGCAATCCAGCTGTCAAATTACCGTGTTATAGGATTGTGCAACGTGTACAGCCATCATGCATGAAATCCATGTTGCCCCACCGCACCGCTTTTCCCATCCAATACAGCCTATTACGAAAGGCACCTCATCTCAAAGTATTACTTGGAGTGGATTCAGTGGCATGGTTAACCAACACACGAGATCAACGTTTGGCAATCCAAGTCCAAATTCAAAACCAAGGCAAGTATAGACGCATGCATCCTTTTTTATATACACCACTCATACATGCTCGTCATACATAAGCAGACCAACCCTTTGTGTTTTATGTAAATCGAGAATTGCACTTGTTTGACAACATGAATGCAAACGACAGCACCTTGGAGCCCCATATCGCCGAGGAGCAATTTGAAAAGTATCACGATGATCAAGATTTTGAGCCTAGTTCATTGGAACCACCTACTTTGATCCGACAACGTTTTCTAGCATTCAGACGTATGAATGAGGAGTGTGACGAGGATAGCTGCCCCATGTGGACGTTTGATACGGCTGATGAATTCAATTCTGAAGCCAAAGCGGATGATGCCTTGGCTGTACAAATCCTGGTAGGGTTTGATAACGCATCCGCTACTACAGCTACCAAAAGTAATAGTCGAAGCAGCATGGAAGATGATGTCACGCCCTCATGCGATCAAGAGTTTTTCGACACAGCGACATGTTTCAAGGTGGCTCCATTAACACACGTGAGCGAAGGATGGATCGGATTGGAAATTGAACAAACGGTCTTTTGTAATAATGATGATCCATCCTTGATGCTAAGCGACAATGATGAGGAGGAGGACAGCGATTCAGATCAAGAAGAACAGCAACATCAACGTCCACAACAACAACAACAACAACATCCATTGACGCATTGGGGATTTGAAATGATCCAGCGCGTGTTTGACAGCTTGAATTCAGATGGCATTGTTGATATTCATTCCGATACTGCATCTACGATGGGTGGCCCATCTCCTCATCAGTCACCAGGGCTTTCCCCCAGTGATAAGGATTCTTTTCAATACTCTTGTGACATGACAAGCAACTCGCTTAGACATTCTGAAATGTCTCAGCCTCGTGCCAAGATCCATAAGCCCAGCACCAGTTTCCTCATTGTCAACAAGCATCCTGGTAGTAGTAGCCTTGATGGTGGTAGAGGAGGTCTTCCATCCTATCTCGCACGTATATGGAACATCATATTCGAATACATGGATGATACCAAGGCTGCCGATGTTTCGAAATTGTTGGCAGATCCCAAATCAGCTAGTACGGCATATCCCTTTTCAGCAAAGTTTGCAACGCTCTTGGGAAGATCTCAACGGCACCATCAAGAAAACGATACGGCAGTGGAAGACCAACACCATCCTCCTTCTTCTTTGCCCATGGATGATGACAATGATGATGATGAAGAAGCAACAACGGCAAATCGAGAACCAGCCATTCTCAAGATTTCTCATTCGGGTCAAGCTCCAACAACAACAATGCATTATCGTTCATCGTTGGATGATCAGCATGAAGTACACGAGAGCGATGATAATAGTACAGAATTGGAAGGTGATGAGCATCATCGTCGATATTCAACCAGCGATAGCAGTGAAGATGAAGATAATGCACTTAATAATGTGCAGCAAGCTCTGGGCTATTATGCATCAGACGCCTATGTGGTGGCTGATAATCATGTTGATGATCAAGACGATGATGAAGAAGAAGAACCGGCGGTTGATCAATACCATGAGAGGTTGTTACCAGTAATGGATGATGATGATGCTAATGCTATGTACACGTCGGACTTACCTTTGGATGATGATGATAATGATCCACCAGTGGATGATGAAGAACAAGAAATTGCAATTCAACAAGATGTGCCAGTGATGGAGGAGGAGGATGAATCTCGACCCTTGACCAACGATCATCATGATAGCGATGTAAGTAAAAGAAGAGACTTGGTGAATCATGTATTATTTATTAAAGCATGCTGCATAGGATGTGGGAGATGCGAAAGATGGGGAGGAGTTGCATGAAGAAGACGTTGCCAAAGTAACCACGAGCAACAAGCCTGATGGCATGGAAACCGATACCGAGTACTTTTCAGATGCAGCACCCATTATGGAACCAGAAGATGAAGGACCCACTGAAATGATACCTAAAGAAACAACCCAACCCAATCCTGATGAGGAGGAATCACAGCCTGCTGAAGAAAAAGAAACCAAGCATGATGATGTGCCAGCAGCAGCAGCAGCAGCCGAGGAACATGAGGAGGAAGAAAAAGTAGAGCAAAAACCACTCGATGTTCAAACGGGTGGCAAAAAGAAAAAGAAAGCGAAAAAAGGCAAAAAGCGTAATGCAGTTTAATTGATATATAAAGGCTCTTTGTAATGATATAGCTATGGATACAGTAAAAATCATGTGGTGCATAGTGCATAATGATGCGGAGGGAGAAAGCACTGACACAATTTCATAAGCGCTGCTCTGTTTCAGGTACTCTTGTACAATTACCACTTCTTTTACCAACCATCCCCCCATATGGACACCAGCAACAGCGTGTCTCCAGAGCTCTTTTTCAATGAGGCCGAGTTCCGCGTGTTGACTCCCAATTTGAGCTTTGAAGCCGATGCATTGCCTTCCAGCGAGGAGATCTTGACGGCTCAAGCGCGACAATTTACATTCTATGGTAACATTGGAAACTTGAGGACGATGCTTCTATAAAATAACACCATGCTGACACACACAACCGTTGCAAGATGAGCAGGTGCGAGTTTTCCTTTATGCACGTGTACCTCATCCAATCTCGGGTACTGGGGATGATGTCTTTTCAGCTGTACAGACCTTTTTCCAACATCTTGACGTTCACGTTGAAGCGAGTATTACTGACGGGGCAGCAGCAGCAGCAGCAGCAACAACGCCATCCACTTTTCCACCACCTCTACAACCATCTTCCTCTTTCACCACAGCTTCACCACATCATCGATCGTTATCTACAAAGTTGAACTCGTCATCATCATCTGCACCTTCTTCTCCAAAGACTCAAAAACGCGATATTCGTGCACCAACATCGGCCGGCACACCACCACCACCACCTTCATTACCTGCCGATTCGTTGCCATTCTTTTCACACACTTACAATAGCCGAGGAAAGGATGCCGAACCTATGATTTTCGAACATGACAAGGCGTATTGTTGTCTATTCCCACTCGTTATTCCAGTGTGTAAGTATCATGTGTTGTGGATTATGAAGAAGGAGGGAAGGATACTCATTCACACATACACCTTTCAAAGTATATGTAAAGACGCGAGCTCAGCAACCACAACTCTTGTTCAACTTTAATGTATCCTATCGACCACTTCCCAGCAAATCCAAAGATGAAACATCCAAATCTTCGACTGATGCATCAGATCAAGACGTGAATGAGTATGATACCGAGCTATTTGAAACCATTGATTTACTTGGAGGACTTTCGGAGGGTAAGTAATCTGGAGGATGTGCAACATACATGTTCATTTATATATGCGATCTTAGATCCTGTTTTTGCAAGTCCATTACATCAGCGATTTGTCGTTGAGAAACAAAGTCGTCAAGCAGCCAGTGGAAGTTTCTCGCAGGCGAGCCATTCTACCCCACACATGTTGACCCTACGACGTCACGTACATGAGACCTTAGCAGTGCGTTCTGGTTTGAATGTGAAAATGAGGACAACCAATGCATCGATAGCAGACAAAATGGTGATGATGTCAGTGGAATTGGAAAATCCAGTTGAAACGGATTGTGTATTTATGGTGGATAAGGTGGAAGTGCACGTTTCCAATTCGGTGGTATCTTCAGCATTTGCCAAAGAGGTAAGAAGAGACGCTTGTTGTATGTATGTATCCATGGTAACAAGGAATGATAGGTGGATTTCCCAATAACCCTTGAGACGTTGGATCAAATGGTGTTTTTATACAATGTGACCCTTTTGGAAGATGGATCAGCTAAACCACCACAACAACCACAACGTATATTCCCTGTACGACATCGCCCTACGCCATCGATGCCAATGCATTATCAGGATGAACGTCTTCAACCCCAACGTGTATCGATCCAAGTATTTGGTGCTCCAGTTGTGGAAGGTGTACGTGCTGCCACCATGCGATCAAAGTGGAATACCATGTTGGATGTTTCAAGCATGCGTCAAAAACGTGAAGAACCAGATCCTCGTTTCTCATCCTTGTTAGCATCCTCGTCGCCACAAGTGGATCCACGTTCATCCGCATCCCTTGCCACGAGTGTTTCAGTGTCACCTGGTGCTCGATCTCTGGGTAGTCCTTTGGTAGATCCTAAGAAACGTATGCTGATGACAACAATGGACACACCTGGTTCACAAACACCCGTAGCAAATCGTGCCTTACCACCACCTCCTCCACCACAACCAGCCTCAGCAGCAGCAGTAGCACCTGCAACACCTGCAACCACACGCCGTACGGATGTAGAAATTGTGGATGGTATTGTCGTATCATTTACAGTACCACCCATCATTCGAGTTGGAAAGGAATTCCCATTGCAAGTGTTTATTGTGAATCGATCCAAGCACACCCGACGTTTCCAAGTGATGGTACCTAATCGTAAACGACAACACCCACCCACCGATGCCATGGCCAACAAGTCATTATTACCTGTGGTACAAAGCACCGTCGACCCATACATGGATGAGACAGGTAAAGGAGGGAGGGAGGGAGGGAGTCATTATTTCATTCAGGATGGGGATTCTCATTGTTTTCTTCGTTTAGAATTCTTGCGTCTTTATTTCGAAAATGAGACACATGAGGCTGATATCATTTGCTTGGAGAACAATGTTCGATTAAGGTAAGGGAGCGTACCCTATCTAACAAGGGGGGAAATGTGTTATTCACGTACCCACGCGTTCATCTAGTCCTCTTGGTCCCTCCACATCCCAATCCGTGGATATACGTTTTATTGCTGTCAAGGAAAAACTTCATACCATTGATCTTATACAGTTGGTGGATCAGGATACTGGCTTTGTGACCAATTTGCGTCATGTCCTAGAAATATTTGTAGATGGGCCTGAATCGAAAGACTAATAATAATATCTTTTTATCTGCTACCTACATACTTGTTATTGTTGTTTGGGAAGGAAAGGGGATGACGGATCAAAGGGAATGCTTTATATGTAACAATGAGCCATTTATGGAAAGCTTTCTTTGTTCAACATTGGCTATCTATGAGCTTGGAAGACCCTATTTTATTCCTAGACGGTGGCCTAGCTACCGAACTCGAACGTGCATTTGGAAAAGACTTGTCGGGTATTGCACACACACACATAGAGAGAAAGTCATAGAGTCATCACGGACAACTAACAAAGGGGCAATTAGGACGATTGTGGAGTGCGCAATGCCTCGACCAAGATCCTGATGCCATCAAGGTACGTACCTTGATTTTCTTTCATGTCCAACAAAGTAGTGGTGGTTAATGTATTATGTATTCTAGGCTGTACACACTTCCTATTTCAAGGCTGGTGCCAACGTGGCAACGACCGCTTCTTATCAGGCATCAATACGTGGATTTCTGGAAGCCGGTTACCAACGTGAGCAGGCGATTCAGCTTATGCGAACAAGTGTGCGATTAGCATGTGAAGCACGTGATGCGTTTGGCCGAGGGCTAGTTGCTCTTTCGATGGGATGCTATGGTGCTGTGCTTGCCAATGGTGCAGAATACACGGGAGACTATGGTGATGCTATTACGATGGATGACCTGGTTGAGTTTCATCGAGAACGATTAGAGATCTTCCTTCAAGGTAAGTACATACGTACATAATAAAATCATCCATCCTTCTTTATCTAATGATGTGGCAAACCAAAGAACCAGGCATCGATTTCATTCTCTTTGAGACGATCCCTTCTTATTTGGAAGCACAAGCAATTCGAAAGTTAATCCATTCAAGTACGCAGCTGAGGCTTCCACCCGTGGGGGTATCATTTTCATGCAACTCGGATCATACTATTTCAGACGGCACATTGTTACAGAAATGCCTTGAAGAGTTTCATTCTATGCCTCAAGTATTTGCAGTAGGCGTCAATTGCACCAAACCTCGTTTTATCCCAGGATTGATTCAAGAACTCACAAAGGAGAAAGAGGAAAAGACCATTTTATTATATCCTGATGGAGGTGAAGAATGGGATGCTGTGGCTCGTCATTGGAAACCAGATACGCATGTTCCTATAGATATGTTTGGTTCATGCATGGCTGAATGGGCTTGCAAGCAACTCAAGGGCAAAAAGATCATGATAGGCGGATGTTGCGGTACAGGTCCTGCTCATATAGCTAGTGTGAAGAAACATGTAGCATTGGAATAAAACTTATGCGTCACCATTGATTGGATAAGAAGCTCTGTAAATGTAAAGCGGACCGTCGTGGTGGGGGGTGGGGTGTTCGAATCGCTTCCTCTCTTGCTTTTGATCGATCACCGCCATGTCCCATTACACCGACACGTATGGCAACGACGAGCCACGCACACCATCAGAAAGCTTTGTCGTCTTTGGTACAGCATTTCCAGAACAAACAGAACGAGATCGACGTGCGGGTGTGAGCGACGCTGGACAATTTGTACCAGAATGGAAGCAAGAAGTCAGAGATGAAAAGGGACGACGTCGTTTCCATGGAGCGTTTACAGGTGGTTTCTCGGCAGGCTATTTCAATACTGTGGGTTCAAAAGAAGGTACATAGCATCATTTCATTCAAAAGGAGTGGCGTTATTGATGGATAGTGTTATGGCAGGTTGGACACCAAGCTCGTTTGTATCATCACGATCGTCTCGTGTTGAAAAGCGTGAAGCAAGACCAGAGGATTTTATGGACGAAGAGGATTTAGAGGTAAAAACGAGTGTGTATATACATACATAATCAGCATGGTCATTAATGATGATAATACATGTAGGAATTGGCGAGTGCAAGAAAGCTTGTTGCTACGGATGAATTTGATATTTTGGGAGGAACACAACGCGAATTGCAAGCAAAACGGAGACAACAACAAGAAGATGAAGCACGTGGAGGTGTTGGATTCTTGGGATCAACGTTGATGGACATGGTGGCACCTACCAAGGAATCAGTGGGTATTCGACTCTTACAAAAGCTTGGATGGAAGCCTGGTCAAGGCATCGGCCCACGAATGACAAGGCGACAACGACGAATGACTTTTCACCAAAACGAGGAGGATGAAGAAGAGGATGAAGATATCGATCAAGACGTTACATTTGCACCACGTGACACGCCCATTGAAAACTATACAGCCAAAACCAACACATTCGGTCTCGGCTATGAGTTGGAAAAGTACGTTCCTCAGGTGGCAGAAATGCGTCGATTGCGTGAATTACAAGGGGCAGATGCAGAGTATGATATGGATGATGATACACAAAGACGGGCTGCATTTGGTGTTGCTCAAGATCGTCGTCGTCGTCAACAAGCTGGTTTTGGACTTGGTGCACTTGAGCATGAAGATGATGATGATGCTGATGTATACGGCAATACGGAGATGAAAGATTACCATTATACACTCTACGAGGATGACACAGAGGGCGATTTCCTTCGCAGGGAGCAGCAGCGCACTTTTACAAAGGAAACGACACGACGACACGCCCCTGAATCAATCACCAAAACACGATGTAGCGATGGAAGATTACCGATAAAAGGATTTTCAGTATCCAATGAACCACAAGAGCTAGGCAAATGGTATGTGATAGTTGTTGTTGTCAATCATGTTGTTGTAATCTAACATGCGATGATGTATGCAGGTATCGACCTCCTGAAGTACCAGCTGATTTCAATGAACGACATGCAGCAATGCAAGATACGACCAATACGGCTTCTACAGAACCTCGATACAACATGACTTCAGATGAGCGAGGTGCTATATTGGGAGAGAAGCCTACCGAGCCACGTTCTGTTTTCGATTATATACCCTCCGGATCGAAGGATCAGCTTGACAGCGTCTTGAAATTTATGACCCATAAGCGACCTGTGGATCCAACAAAGCTGACCGATTTTCCCAAAATTACCAAGCAACAAGCCAACATGGCGTTACGTGGCTTCATGCCCTTTGGCGACAACCTCAAAAAGCAAGCCCGTTACAAGAGTTATCTTGAGGATCAAGCGGGTGTCTATGGTGAACCAAAAGATGTGTTACCAGTCCCAGAAGGATTATCGCATGAGGAGGCTTCAAAGGAATTGGATGAATTTGCCAAAGCGGCACGCATTTTCAGACCGATCAGCGCCATGATGAGTGGACGATTCACTTCAGCAAGTGAAAATACAACCACCGTTGAACAAGTGTCATTCCAAGGTGGATTGAAAACAGAGGACCAGTGGCGCAAAGAAAAAGAGATCAAAGAAAAGCAAGAAGCCGAAAACCAACAACCAGAAAAGGAGGTAAGTTGTATTCTAATGTATGATATGCATTGATAGTCATTAACAATAATTGCTTTAATAGAAATCAACCGAGGCTCAGGCAGCATCCATGAAGATGTTTGGACAGCTTACACGTACAGTGAAGCCATTTTATCCTGCAAGATTACTCTGTAAGCGTTTCAATGTGCGCAATCCACACCCTGATCATGATCCATCACGTGGCAATGTTGGGCATACAATGGCTGGTTCAAAGGAGGCATTGAGTGAGGAAAAGGTGGAAGATATGATGCGTCAGCGTGGCAGACCCAAGGCTATCGAACAATGGGCCAATGATCCAGCTTTAAGTGCGGTGATACCAAAACCATCAGAACGAGCGCCATCTCAACCTGACAACAAGGAGCCAAAAGAGACATCAGAACCACCAACAGCTGAAGAATCATCAACTCAATCCAAGCAAGATGAAAATACAGCAAAGGCAGCAGAAGAGGATCAAGAAAAAGAGACGTATGAACGCCCATCTATGGATATCTTTAAGGCTATCTTTGAGAATTCAGAGGATGAAGATGAGGAAATGGAGGAACGTGATGATGACGACAAGGTACAAGAACCTGCCAATGCTGAAAGTCAAGGCATGACAGAGCGACAACCTTCATTGTCAACTACCAGCAACAACAAACACCGTGATGAGGATGTTGATATGGATGATCAGGATGATGTCATGGTGGGTCCCTTACCTCCACCAGCAAAAGAAGAGCCATCTGTACCTAAATTCACCCGTGCATCAGAACGACAAAGCGAATCAACATCACGTAGCTTGGATACCAAGATGAATGTTGTATCGGAGAGCATTGTTGTTCAACCCTTCAAAGCCCGTGAGCGAGTACGTCGTCGACGCCATGTATCCGTATCCGAAGAAGAAAGTGAAGAAGAACAAGAAGAAGAGCGAAGGAGTCGGCATAAGAAGAAGCATAAAAAGGAAGAACGAAGGCACAAGAAGGAAAAGAAAAAGAAAGAGAAATCCAAAAAGAAGCATTCAAAGCATCGATCGTCGGATGAAGACATGTTGGATGGCGCTGTTTGGGTAGAAAAAGAAGTTCCTCGACCCTCGTCTAGTGGCACTAGTAGTTATTCTCAAAAGCGAAGAGCGCGTGCAACTGATCTTTGGTAAAGCTCAATAAATCAACAATCCATCGTTTATGCATGCGCAAACTGGGGTATAATGCAGATGAAAAATTGCCCGTAACCAATGATTGGTGAGCAGGTCACTCGGAGAGTTTCCTTTTTCATTTCTTGCAGCAGCAGCAAACAGTTTTAAGCCCGTGTTGCTCCAACCCCTTCTTCCACACATCAACTTTTTTTTTCTCTCTTCTCCTTTATTTTATCTTTTATACAAGCACGTGTTATGACTTACAAACGATCGACCACTACATCATCCACTACGGCACTGTCCTCCAAATCGACCATGTAAGCGTTGCCCTTTTATCAACAAATGCCATCATCGCTGACCATCCAAAGCACCAATAATGGTTCATTCACCTATGGACAGTACAAAACGCACACCAACATCAATACGAGTATACAAAACTGGTACATACGAAAGCTTGTTTATAAAAGTCATCATGCATCTTTTCTTACGTGGATCCTGATGATATTAGGCAACTACGCAACCTAATCTCGTTTGCTGACAACCACACCATCTTGCATCCTTACCACGAATCCTTGGCCTTTGTAAGTCTCTACATGTTCTCTTTTTAAATTTGCAGAAGAGGAATAGTACTAAACGTGTCATGGATACACACTCCGAAAAAAAGTACAATCCTGCCCTCGGAACGGAAACATCGCTACCGTTGCCATTCGCACCCACTACTATCGATAGCAGGTATATACATAAGCATCTATCTTTTTCGTGAGATGCATTACCAACCCTTGAATTACATTAGTTGTGGCTATGTTGCTGTGGGTGGACACAGAGGCATGGCAATGGTCAAATCCCTCTCGAATGTTGAATGGTACGTACGTTGTACGTAGTAGTGTATGCCTATTTTAAAAGACTCATCCTATCATTTTTAAACAAGGTCGAGCACGTTGAAAGTGGGGATGGGGATGAATAATTGTATCCAGCTTTCTGGTCATCCTAACAATGAATGTCGGCTGACAATTTGCAACAATGATCAAACCATGAGCGTGTATTCAATACCAGATCTGAGAAACCTGGTGACACTTGACCTGTCTTCAGCAGCGATCAACCAAAGTATGTATGCTTTAGCGTGTCTTTGATAATAGGCTAACCTGATTTAGTATCCACGAGCCCCGATGGAAGAGCCTTGCTCACTGTGAGTGATGATGGCTACGTGTCTCTTTTTAATACACGCGATTACACGAAAACAACGAGTTTCCAAGGTGCGTATTTTATGATCAGGACACACATTCACACGCATGTGATATTGAATGCATCATAGTGAGCGAGGGTGGGCCCGTGTTGTCGTGTGCCTGGAACGACAACAACATGATAGCCGTTGGTAGCCATGAAGGCACGGTGCATGTGTATGACGTTCGTCAATATCATCATGCACTAGCCAAGATTGGATCAACAGAGGTAATGTAACGCGCAAGATCGCCGTACGGTGAAACAACAGAAAGTTTATAATTCTGTTTTCTGTAAATTAGGCAAGGAGTACTCGTAATGCACCTCGTAGCATCCGATTTAGTCACGGCCCACTTGATCTTTTAGTCTATGCAGAGGTAACACTTTATACGCAACATGTTGTAACACAGGTGAACTCACGTCCCATCTCTTTGTTTACTCTAAGCATGTATCCAATATAAACATTGTGGATACACGAACATTTGAAACTCGTCAAGTGGTTCGATTAGGTCCGCATGATTGCGATACCCATATTGCAGGCATTGAGCTATCTCCCGATAATCGATCCATCTATGCAGGTAAGGTATACATATATAATACATGTTCCTTATCATATGCTCATTCTGGTTCTTGTCATACGCATCACAGGCCTAGAAACCGACATGGTCCAGATTGACATCGATACAGCCGTACGACGTCAGTTCCCCAATGCACGCCTCTTTTAATTGCTGCTCCCCCTACCTATACCATTATTGCATCCTCCCTCACCCTATTCATCATCATTGTCATCCTCTTCATGTTGCTTAATAGAATTTGATTTTTTTCCTTAGCTTGTAAATGAATGATAAGTCTTTTATGGTCTTCCAGTGTTATGCTACATATATAAAACATGATGAAAAAAGTTGAATCTACATGAATGAAATCGCTTATCGTCGCTTCTTGCTTCGTCCACTGCCAGTCTATGAGTTTTATGGTGAGTGAGTGAACATGTATAAATCAATGTAAGCAAAACCTTTACCTCTGATCTTTGTCGTTTGCGATTGAGTACGTTGCGGAATCTTTGATTTTCTTCTTCTTCGACGTCCTTGATGCCCACAAGGTTGCTGAAATCATTAAGGTTCTAAAAAGAGAAAAAAAAAAGATATCAGAGATACCATACCAATAATTTCCATCCCACGATACATACATCAAATTCACTCTCGAACTGCATGCGATTCTTCTTGGCATTGATGCGTTTCTTTTCCTTGCGTGTCACTGCCAAACGGACATAGTTGTCTTCTTCATACTTGCGCTTCTCGGCAATTTGATGATCCAAACGGTCGCCAAAGATGACGCTTTCTGTGACACCACCATGTACATCGCTTTCTTCAGGAGCATCGTTCATATCCGCCATAAGATCACGAATGACACGAGATCGTGATGCCTTTTCTCGTAGACGAGCTTCTTGTTTCTCACGTTTGCTTGCTTTGGTACCATCCTCATCAAAGACCACAGGAGCCATCTTGGGAGGTCGATAAACGCCCTTCTTTCCATCCTCTTCCTCCTCTTCCTCCTCTTCATTGTCTTCATCGTCGTCACGTGCCAACAAGTTCATTGGGTTGGGCTTGAATGCAAGTGGATCAGCAGCAGCAGTGGCATCCTCCTGTTGTTGCTGTTGTTGTTGGGTGCCCATGACAGCTGCACGAACAAGTTTATCAATCTGGTATTTGAGCTTGGCTTCGACTGGTTTCATCTTGTCAAGAATAACCCGTAACTCGACAAGTGACTCGATCACCGGGTGCTGGTGAATGGATCGGCCACTGAGCTTCATGTGGACAATGTATGCAAGTTGTGTAATGTACTGGAGCATGAGCTGGTACTTGACTTCAAGAAACGATACACCTTTACTCGTCTTGATCTCGCCATCGTGATATCTATGGATCGACATGCCGTAAGAGATCGGGTTCAACATGCTACTACAACAGCTCTATGGCTTACTTTTGGACGATCGGCTTCAGTTGTGTCTTGAGCTCGGCCACTCTTTGCTTGAGATCACCAACCAACTTTGTCAATTCAGGCACTAGAACAAGATACTTCAGTCGTCAGGAGTGTGATCCAATGTGTGTAAAGCAACAGCGATCGCTACCTGTTGATACTGCCTCTTCGCTGGCTGCCATTGGTATATGCAAATAAAGAAAGAAGAGCTACAAGCGGTGAATAATATTTTTGAGAGCGGGTAACTAACTCCACCCTCCCTCAGCCAAATAGGAAAATTGGTGTCACGCGCCACGATAAAGTCCCAAGCGGCCCAATCATTAGAAAAACCTCAATAGATAACACGCTGCATAAAGTATTCTCCATCATCCTTATCCATCTCAATAAAATATCGTTGCATCGATTTTATCAAACCACAAACCAAAGCTATAGAGTCTAGCGACAATAACATGAATCCCCGGCCGTTGCTAAGCAACGTGGCATTGCGTTGCTATGTATGTAAGCTTGTTTCCATGTTCCCCCCCCGAAATATCCCTCACTACGCTCCTCCATTGCCAACATTGATATCCGATAAAAAGTGGTATCGTTCATATGGTGTCTTTAATATCCATAGTGTTACTGTTCTTGTTGCTTCTTCTCCCATTCTTCGGGCGTGTAAGATTTCTATATATTGATAGAGGCAATGAATGTTTGTTTTTTGCATGGTTTGATCCAAACATTACCTGTGAAAAGGCGTGTACTTTGCTGATCTCATCTTTGAGAGTGTCGTTGACGAGGCGGTGTCTTGCAAGTAGGCGCTTTTCACGAAAGAGGGGAGAGACGATCACGACTTGAAACATTTGGCCACAACCACCCGATTGGTCTTCTACTTCCTGTTGAAACAGAGTAAGGAATGGATTGTCGTATCTTTAAGGCATTGAGCACCGTACCACATGTTGAGCTTGGAGACGATCAGTGATAGTTTCCTTGAGAGATTCGGCTGTGATGCCCGAGTGAGGAGCTGACATTCGTATATGAGAAAGAGAGAGAGAAGATACTAGTTCAGTTATCGTGACGGCTTCAGGTGGTGGAGGAGTAGAACAACTGTTTCCAGGGAAATGATGATCACAGAACAAATGATCGGTTGACACGATGTATTGGATAAAAGAGGATTGGGCGGCGTGCAAAGGCTCCAAGCAGCATGAATTTATTGACTCCAGCGGAAAGGATGAGTGGGTGGTGGTGGTGGTGTTGGGGCTGATACAAGGACACACACCTTACACTGCTTTCTTTTTCTTTCTTTTCTTCCTTATACACTCTTTTTATCAAAGCTATTGAATGGTATTCCATGAATAAACTCAAGACTACGTTTCTACGCACACACAGTACCCGCCCATCCGATGAGAGACGATCGCTACAGTTTGCAAGAAAACTGAATGCTGCGCAACTGACAGCCTTTGATGACCCGAACAGCCCCAATGCTATACCATCTTTGCGACCCGATGAATTGTGTGAGATGGAACGTATTGCTTATCAGACGTGGTGGAAGGACTTGGACCCTTTTTCAATTGGCCATCTTGACAATGAAGCCATGCTAAAGTTTGTGCGAGGTTGCTGTCTTCCAGAAGTCAAGTTGGAACAGGTACATTTCCCGTTTCAGATCTGAGGGAGGGTGCGTGCATACACTAACAATCATCACCCAATGCATATAGATTCTTTTACTTTTCCAAGATGGCAAGACGAATGGATTGGATGAGCATCAGTTCTATGCTATGTTACGGCTAATTGCACATGCCCAAAATGGCAGGACGATAAGTCGTGATATGGTCTATTTGGGAGGTAAGGATTATATGGGTTATCACGCGATATCATATGTTGTTGTTGACACTCGTATGCAGCTCCAGTGCCCAAATTCCAAACAAACGCGATCGATGCTCTTATCAAACCAGCGGCTGCAACAACAACAACAACAACACCCAAAGTATCATCATCATCCACATGTGGTACAACAACAGGCTCTGCTCCTTCTTGGCAGTCGGGAACAACAACAACACGCAATTCTTGGATCCAGCCCAGCCCATCATCCAACACCAACACTGTTGCTAGGCAACAACAACAACAACAACAACGCCCCACATCATGGTATGTTGGTCAACAACCCTTACCAATGTATGATCCTGCGCCATCTGCACCGTTTTTGTCGCCACCACCACCACCACAGCAAACAACTACTACTACCACTAACACTACTACAACATCCAACGATCGATCTCCATTCAACCAAGATAATAAACAGTATGCAGCAGCAGGATTGAATAGCTGGTCTCAGCAACTACCACCTTCTCAACAACCCATGTCACATTCAAGCACGACGACTATCAGTGGCAAAAGCACCAACAATGAGCAAAAACATCAGTATACCCATTCACGTTCACGTTCAGTGCCTTATTCGGTACCTCAGCCCGCCACTGCTCAATCAATGACACAACAAACGCCATCAACAAGCGTGTTTAAGTTCGATACGGTAGCTGCAACTCCCTCCAAACAACAACAACAGCAACGCCCTGCACCACTTACATCACGTGTTTCCATGGATGCTGATTCATTTCAACGTTTATCATCAGCTATTGACACTGGTCAATCCTTGTTGTTGACAAAAAAGTTTGTTCCACCCAAGGCATCCAACAATCCGTTTGAGAGTGCTATCGATGAATCCCCCAAGCATGAGTCATCCTCAGCTGCTGCTGCCAAGTACAGCCCATTTGCAGATGATTTGGATAACCAATCAACCCCTCGAGCCTCCATGTCGTCTTCTTATCATCATCAACCACCACCAGCACAAGAAAATCAGCAACAGCAGCAAGAGGAGAAGGCAAGTGCACCACCTTGGCCTAGCATCAATCGACATCCAAACAAACAAAACATATACCCGCCTCCAGTCCCGTCTCAAGCGACAAAACCAGCATTCCCCAAGTATGCTCGCAATATTCAACCTTCTTTAGCACTGAGACGGACGCAAAGTTATCGATCCTCCGACGCTGCTACTGCTACTGCTGCTGCAACATTGGATCCCTTCAATGTGGCCGATCCACAATCGACACCCACCCTCATCCATCATCATCATCATCATACAACTACTAATACTACATCTAATACTCCACCTATCGCATTCTCACATGGCAACAAGCTCTTTCGACATAGATCGTATGGTTCAGCATTAATGCGACGATAGCCACTTTATTACCAATCATTGTTATCCCCCTTTGTGTTTTCTATAAAAAATTCACCGATTTCTCATGTATTAACCCTCCACACTCTACGTGATCCACATGATTGATACCTTGCTTTGTTTTTGTTTCTGATCAACCTTTCCAAACTACTGGTATCCAAGATCTTAGAAGATCGATCGATCCATCGATCGATCATAACTCACCGAGTTCACGGATGAGACAATCATCATACATCATTTACGTAAGGTAGCAGCTAGTATTTATTCCTTCATACGGTCTCATATTGAGCCCTGCATATCCATCCACCATCCCATTATTCCGGTTTCTCCTTGCTTCAATCTCTATATAAGAGAAGATGGATGAAGGCTTTATCATCATCATCAAACTACTTTATCAAAATGCGTTACATTACTCTCATTGGTGCCATTTGCCTTGCTACCACCTCCACGGTGTCTGCCTTGGATAAAATCATTGCCTATGCTGATAGTTTCACTGACAATGGCAATGATTACAAGCATAGTGGTTTCCCTCCTTCCCCTCCTTACTGGAAAGGCCGTTTCTCCAATGGACCTACATGGCTCGAGCATGTTGCTGATGCTCTTCCCGACACCAAGGTGATCAACAATGGCCATGGTGGTGCTACCACCGATAATGCCCATGCCTATAGCGAGTTTAATGGCTATGTGGTTCCTGGCACGTTGCAACAAGCTGAGAACATTGAAGTGAACGGCACTCCCGACGATTTGTATATCATTTACGTTGGCTACAATGACTTGAATGCTATCCTTAACCCTGACATGTACAAGGTTGTCAAGAAGAACTTTACTATTGAGGATGTCGCCAACGGTGCTGTCAAGACCGCTGAAAAGTTGAAGGAAAAGTATGGTGCCAAGGAATTCTGTGTCATGAATGTTCCTCCTTTCTATCACTGGCCTGTTATCGAAGAAGGCGACAAGGCCAAGGCCAAGAAGCTTATCAACGACTACAACGATCTTTCCAAGTCTAAGTTTGAAGAAATTGAGGGTATCAATGTCAAGTTTTTGGACGACAATGCCTTTTTCGAAGATTTGATTGCCAACGCCGAAAAGCTTGGATTGAGCACAGATAACGGTCCTTGTGATCCTGGTATTGGCAAGACCAACGTTTGCGATGATCCCAAGAAACACTTTTACTGGGATAGCTATCATCCCGAAGCAAAGGCTCACAAGGCTTTGGGTGAATGGGCTCTCAAGAATCTCAAGAAGAACTATGATTTCTAGACATTTTAAATTCATGATTGAATAAACACAACTTGCATTTATAAAAGAGGTCTTTATATACATCGCTTAATGCAAAACTATATACAAGGATAGGTGGTGTCGTTGTTGTTCTTTATAATCCTTCAAGTGCCAATGCATCCAACGTCCGACTAATCATCTCAGCTTCACCCGTAGTACTATCCACCATCATGATGCCATCACCACCTTCGGGTTCGTAATAGCCATCTTCAGTATCACGTTGATCGTGGCCGAGGCGATTATAGTATTCCACTTGATCTAAGCCATCCATCATGACTCCATCCACATCGACGTCGACGTCCACCAAATATCGATCTCTTCCAGGACTATCATAAGCAGCACCTGCATCTTTGCTTTCGCGACGTTCAGTGCTTACAATCCGTGACGATGGGACAAAGCCAAGATCATCAGATCCAGCAAGTGACGGTGGTTTGGCATGCGTGGGGATATCCGATTCAGAGCTTGGAGATCGATGTGGATGATGACGACCCGAAGGTAAAGAAGGATCCAATAGGTTATCCAACAAATCTAGAGTACGCTCAATAAGATTTCACCATTCCTTGTACGCCTTTTTCCAAACCTACCATTCTTTCGTCTTTTATAGTAATCTTCCTTTTCCTTTTCCATCTTCTCCTTTCGATTCTTGATTTCACGTTCTTCTTCAGTCATCATTTCAGGATTAAGGAACTTGAGTCGTAGACACGTATGTTTCCGGAACGATACGCATCCTCCCCAGAGCCATAGTGGTAAGGTACAAGGAATGGTCACTTCAAAGTTGCGGAAGTTCTCGACAAATTCAAACTCTTCTTGGGCAATCACGTTGGTATGAAGGTATCTATAATATAATAGCATGGGTCATTCATACCAATGGCTCCCATGATCCATAATCCTTCGCTTCTTACCTTGAGAATTCGCTCATAGCACTGGATGTGCTCCACATTTGCAATTTCCTCATACACGCAACCACTAAACCCGTGACATCGGCTCCATCAAGACAATGCAAATACAGTGGATGGTTGGCAGGATCAATGATAATCTATTCAGAGCTGTGAGCCACTGCATGTATATACATGCATATGATCCATACATACCTGCAATGCCATCAATGTCTTGTTATAACTAAGAGGAATGTTGTCCTCCTTCATCTTGTCCACGTTGATATGGATCATGGAGATACCATGTTGCTCACAAAACTCGTGCATTTCAGGTGTCAGCTTGTTCGGAATGAGAGAGAGAATGGTCTTCAACCGTAATCTAGGTTGTGTTGGGTATGAGTCTTTTGACATTGGGGGGAACCATTATGGGTCACGACTCCCACCTTTTAAGGAATCGCATGTTGCGTGCTTTAGGATAGCCACCACGGAACAGACCATCTTCTACAATGGCATAACGGAATGGGGGTATCAGGCTCGGCAGTTTTGCTGTCATTGAAGGAGTGGCAATAAACGAGAAGAGCTGAGTACAATATGTTGTTGGATCGCTTTGCTTCCTCTCCCACGTGACACAAGAAGGCACAATGTCGTCAGCTCCCTTTGCATACACCACTGATGACCCATTCTTCCCATCCATCCTTTTTACCCAATCCAATGCATGTGAACAATTGTCCTTCTCCAGCCCGTCATCTCCATCCTTCAACTTTGTTGATCCGAGTGGATTTGACTGAACAACGCTCAAACACAAAACATCATCCAATTTCACAAAAATCATTTTGCAAAGTTATTTGTAAACTGCCAGCTCGCAGCCCCTTCCTTCCATTCTCCATTGTTGTCCAATCCAATGCATACGAACGATTGTCTTGCTCCAGCCATTCATTTCCATCATTTAACTTTCTTGATTCGAGCTAACCTGGTAGTAAGGTAATGGCTGTTGTTGGATCATCATTATCATGTAAAGTGTAAAATGGCACACACCCTTTTGCTATACGTGAGGATCATTTCTTTTATTTACGTGTACCTATTGTCTATTACGAGGAGGAGGAGGAGGAGGATGGGTGGATGGTGTGTGTGCGGTCATTGAGTGGCCTCACTGTAATGGCAGTAGGGGGGATTTAAACTTGGGAGACTGTAGCTCCACGACTTGAGACAACGCTTCTCTTCTCTTTCTCCCACCTTTCCTTATTCCATTCACGACATTGCGATCAAGGTAATGTACTATAAAAGAGTGCTCTTGTTGTTTGTGAGGCATTAACATAGTTCTGAACATGCATTGTCAGGGAGTGAGTGTGTCCAAAGTGCCGAGGAATGAGCGTGGTTGGTGGTTGGTGGTTGCCATGGCGATATTGTTGCTTCCTTTTGCTCGTTGCTATTCCCGCTCTACGCTTGGTGTCAACAGGTACATTCAGAGTCCAATGTTGCAGCCGAACTGGTTCCATTGACATGTTAGCTTGTATAGGGGGGCAAGTTTGGTTTCAAGACGTTGGCTCGTTTGGCGTTTTGTTTCGGCTCAACAACACTACTACACCATCGTTTTCGGTTTCCAGTAACCAACAACAACAGGTCTTTGTGTATATGGAAAAGGCAAGTACAATGAAACAAACAATGAAAAGGGTGTTTATTGTATGTGTGTGCTAATAATGAATTGAATAGGTTTCATACAACTTGGGGGCATCATCATCGTCTCTTTGGGTTCAAGTCCCAGCCTGTATCAAGTGGCCGCTGCGTCGCTCTGCACTAGCCAAGTGTGCTGGAAAAGCTTCTTGGAACGCGTCCAGGGCTCTATAGGCCTGCGTTTGAGTTGATGGGTCGATGACGATGGATTTTTGGAAGAGCATGGTCACCGTGTTGAGGTAAAAGAGGATTTGCAACAGCTTGTGAACGTGCTGAACCAACACGCTCTTCTCGTGATAGGCTCGTTCTTTCCCTTGAGGATTTCTTTTCATGAGGTGGAATAAAGCATTGTTTATTTATTACACGCTTGGACTTTGCTAGCTTGTGGATTACCTACTTTCGGTTCGTAGATGGAATAATAAAGGTGGTCCGGTTATCGGTCATGCGAGAAGTATATGGCTTTTTGTGATACAATAAGGAGGAGTGAGATGACCTTAAGAAGAGAAAAAGTGAAGTGATCCTTGCACTGAGTTTTAGAATGAGTAACCCATCAATATGTATACGTATCTCTTTACATACACAAATTGGTTTATGCAGCACGTACTTCTCCTGCATGCAATTGTGATATGGAACCATTATTGTCATACGCATTACTTACGTACCTTCACAAAAGGCAATCATCATGATCATCCATGTGTGTAGCAACCTGTCAAGGACGTGCTTGTGTAACGACCACGTGCCATTTTCACTCAGCTCTTCATCGTTCCGTTAATGCAGCCGACACCATCCACTAGGAAAAAGCAACTCCATCACGCTTACGGTATTGGTAAAACATACAGGTGCCTGTATCTCTAAACTTTACAATCAAACGCGGGGTCTTTGAGAACAAACCTGCTTGGCGTGGCCAACAGCATCTTGTGTGCAAGGTTTCGCGATCAAGGTGGCCAAGCCGAGCAACATTGTTCTGTTAAAGACCCCACGTTTCATGGTAATATTTAGAGATAAGACACTTTTATGTTTTACATACAGTATGCTGTAAGCGTGATGGAGCTGTTTACTGCTACTGGATGGTGTCGAGAGCACTATAAACAAAGTGAAGAACCGAGTGGAATGGCAAACACATCACACACACGTGCCATTGAAATGTTGTTGCATGGGTGGCAATGTTTGGCTTTAGGAAGGATCGTTGACAGCATGTACTATGAAATCTATCAAGGTACTACTGCTACTGGTGGCGGATTGTGTCACTTCACGCTTACGTATTGCTTTTTATCGTCTGTCGTCGTGTACAGCTAATAGCCATTTCGGATCACAATGCATTTCCAGAAGTGTCAACCATAACTTGTGCATATTTATACAGCGTTGATAGCATCAATGAGGGGTGGTGTTCCTTTTCTTTTCCTTAAACGCAACCTCGTCCAACAGCAACGAGCAATCCCACGAGTCATTCAAGATCCGCGATTCATGCAAAACTCGGGGATTCAAGTCAAAAGTGAACTCTTCGGGGAAAGAGTGGAGGTCAATCAAGCCACCCAAAATCTTTTTAGCAGGGCAATTCCAGCGCTGGCAGTTGAACCTTCTTTTCCAACCAAGAACTTGTCACGCCATGTGAGTATTTCTTCATTCACGCCCATGGGAGAGTGTGCCAATGTTACAGACGACCACGAGAAGAGAACAAACGCAACAAGCAAAAGAGCAACGCTATCAACAATACTGTCATTGGGACAATGGCATTGGAGACACCTTCTATATTACTCCTTCTCTTTCTCTCTGACACATACACACGCTCTCTCTTCCCACGCACGCGTATTCATTCCAATTCGACTTTTTACTTATATTTTGTATATTTATAGGGTCAACTTGCGCAACCAGAAACGCCTCGCAGCCTCTGTCCTCAACTGTGGCAAGCGTAAAATTTGGCTCGACCCTAACGAGGTCAATGAAATCTCCAACGCCAACTCCCGTAAGCATCCAAATCACTTTTTATATGTATACTTCATGTATGTATGATTAACAAACAACATGGATGAATAGGTGCCAACATCCGCAAGCTTGTCAAGGATGGTTTGATCATCCGTAAGCCTGAGATCAGCCAATCTCGTTTCCGTGTCCGTGAGCGTGCTGCTGCTAAGCGCCTTGGTCGTCACATGGGTCTTGGTAAGAGAAAGGGTACTGCCAATGCTCGTATGTCCCAACAAGTCCTCTGGATGCGCCGTATGCGTGTTCTTCGTCGTCTTTTGCGCAAGTACCGTGAATCTGGCAAGATCGACAAGCACTTGTACCACTCTCTTTACCTCAAGGCCAAGGGTAACGGCTTCAAGAACAAGCGTGTCTTGATGGAACACATTCACAAGGCTAAGGCCGAGAAGCTTAGAGCTAAGACTCTTGCTGAACAAGCTGAGGTTCTCCGTGCTAAGAACAAGGCTCTTCGTGAACGTCGCAAGCAACGTGCCGAGGCTAAGACTGCCGCTGGTGAACAGTAAACACAACATTGCATCAATAAAATAGCCTTTTCTTCAACAACACACACCACATCTCTACATACATAGCATTGTCACACAAGAATTTGAAAAGGAAAGGTTGCGATGGTGATGGTTTTGGGTACGATTTATCATGTTTGGTTCTCTTTGTTGCGGCTTGGTTCTTTGTTCTTTTCCTTTTCTTTTGCATCATGGATAACCTTCGCCTAACAACAGCTCTCAACTCGTTTACATTACCAGTCAATGCCGAACAACATCAACCTTTATGGGAAACCATGCAACAAAATGCATACTTTTGTCTACAGCGCACAAAGTTTGGCAGATTTTCATTTATACACAACGTGGTTGGCACAATGCAGAGCGTGTATGTACATACAAATTGTCATTTAGCATCATCACGTTAACAGCACGACATGCATCTTTTAGCTTGGATACCAGTAAACAGCTACCCTATCGACTTCTTTACCAATGTGCGGATGGTGCCTGGTGGCAGATTGGTGCTACAGATAATGAAAAGAATGCCAACATGGTTTGGACCTGGATTTATGGTACTTTTGTGCATTCACAATCCATGTATAACGACTCACATTCGTTTCATTGCTTTCTCAAGAAAACTTGTATCCATCGCTGAGGATGCTTGATGATGCCGAAAAGGATGAATTCCTCCATATCAAAATCAGCTCTCTTGTGGCACGTAGAGGTTGGTATGACATTTTCAAGAAAGACAAACACTGAAAATCTCTATTGATAGATGGAGAAAGCGATGATACAAAAGACCATGATCATTCAACATCGACCTATTTTCGACACATTTTCGACTTGGCCGAGACCGAGCGTCTAGTCAATTGTAACAAAAGAATGACTTCATCGCATTTATCCAAATCCGCTTAACGTAGATCTCTTTAGGCTATTCTTGCGGATACTCGGTAAACTGGTTCACTAGTCAAGGATGGCTCTACATCAGTGAAAACTACCTTGGCTTTTATTCGTCATTTTTGGGATATGAGACCAAAGTCTTGATTGAGCACAAGGACGTGGAAATCATTACAAAGGAGAAATCGGGCGTGTTTTCCAATGCCATCAAAGTAGTGAGCAAGGACGATGGTGAGACTCAGGCAAGAATCTCGGGGGCTGTGTTGTGTATATATGTTGTCATGTCCTACGCTAACATGCACTAAATTTAGCATCTCTTTTCAAACCTTCTTGATCGGGACGCGGTAAGAACCAGATGACCATGTTGTTTGGGTGGCCCAAGCCTTTCTCTTTTTCGCCACTTTTCCACTTTCACACCATGGCGCCAATGCTAAAATTGGATTTGGTTTAGGTTTATGATGAATTGATACAATTGACCGGGGTTGCCATGCAACGCGTACTCAAAAGTGCAGCTCTGGAATACCACTTGTGTCCTTCTAGTTCCGATTCATGCAGCACCGCCAACATGAGTGACAGTAGCAACAGCAGCAGCACTACTCGGCGTAACAGTAGCACACAAGCTGGTGCAACCTTCTCCTCACAGCCTTTGAAAAAAGACCTGGAAGCACAACGCCGAGATGAGCATTTTCGAAACAAATTCAGATTACCTTGTACCGAGAACTTGCTGCTTCACGTTGGTGCTACACAATTCAACAACCCACATCATCCCATTCGTGGCCGCCTATCGCTCTCTCCCGCTTTTTTGATATTCCATGCTATTGACAATGATTCAACAACGGCACAACAACAACAATATGAATGCGTGATACCCCTTTGTGCCATACGACAAATTGAGCGCCTTTTGGATATCAGCTTTATGCTTTCAATCAAGATCACTGATTGCTATCAAAATACCACCAAGTTTTGGTTTGAGCATATGCAAGTATCATCACACGTTATCATACAACATGCATTCTAATTGAATGATTAGTAACAGAGACGAGTACGAAGAAATTTGGTATCATCTGACAACAAATACACGTCAACAACAAGAGCGCCTCCAAGCAACCACCGACCATCTTATTACATGGCTTCCCTCAGAACGTTTACTACGACATGAGAAGGCACACAGTGACATCACTGATGCACCTGGTGGTGGGTTGGGGCTATTGTTTGGCTTTCCAGGTGATGAGATCAAGACGAGAGACAAGGTCAAGATGGAGTTATGGAAGGATTACTTTGAAGGTACGTATTATGACCACTATTATGGGAGGAGACAAAGGACAACAATGAGCTCATTTATTATTATAGCACATGGGCGCAACTTGATGATAGCCAAGACTCGCCGATTTGCACAGCTTGTTCATGCAGGACTACCCAATCGTTTACGGGGTGAGATTTGGGAGATATGTACTGGTTCAATTTACGAGCGTGTCATGAACCCGAACATTTACCGAAGCATCCTTGATGAAAACAAGCACAAAAAGTCATCATCTCTTGAAGAGATTGAAAAGGATTTGACAAGGTAGGTGTCCTATCTTTTGCACCAATGATTATTGTGATTGCTCAATGTGTGAAAAAGATCACTTCCAGAATACCCAGCATATCAAACACCAGAAGGCATTGCACGTTTACGACGTGTGTTGACAGCGTATTCGTGGAAAAACCCAGAGCTGGGGTATTGTCAAGCTATGAATCTAGTGGTATCCGTATTCCTGATGTAAGTTGATATCACATTGTTCCATTGCAAAAGCTTATGATGTCATCATCCACAGCTATATGAGCGAAGAACAAGCGTTCTTCATGCTTACAAAGCTTTGTGAAGACATGCTACCGGGCTATTATGGTCCTTCAATGTATGGCGCTTTATTGGATGAGCATATCTTTGAGGAGATGTTACGAGACGCCATCCCTGATTTGCATCAACATGTTTCAAAAACCGGGATCCAGCTATCCATTTCATGCATGCCATGGTTTTTGACACTGTTTGTCAGCTCATCAATGCCGCTCTTATTTGCATTTCGGGTGATGGATTGCTTTTTTATGAATGGGCCTCGAGTGCTTTTCCAAATTGGGTAGGTATCCAGGCAACCCATATACGATTTGAAACATGCATAAGCTGATCCCATTGACTTAACTTGTCAACCAATTGACGTATCTATTAGACTAGGTAAGTATAAAAACATGCATAATGAATACATTCACAACTCACCAGCTTGTGTATATAGCTATTCTCAAGATAAACAAGGAGCTGCTTTTGCAAGCTAATGATGATGGTGCATTCGCCGACGTTCTCAAACATTACCTGCAATCATTACACGAGGTGGTTTACTATATGGAAATGGATAATGGCGGCTTGGTAGGAAAAGCAAAGTCAATGACAGTAAGTGGATAAGGGGGTTCTTTGTTTTTATGCACAATGACATCATTTGTAGTAGTAATGCTTATTTGACTTTTTTTCCCTCCTTGCCAGAAATTTAGCGAGTTGTTGCATGTTGCATTTACCGATTTCTGCCACATTGATGATGACACGGTCAGGGAGATGCGTCAAAGACATCAGCTTAAAGTCGTTGCCAGTATTGAATCTTCTGCCAAACGATCCACTATCCGCAATCTCGATACCACAGCAGGTCTCAATACAGATGAGCTCAGCAGCCTTTATGATATCTTTCACAATGTGCAATACTACCATGATAGCCAAGAAAGCAATATGGACTATGCATGTTTTGAAGCTCTCATGGGCAAGCTGACAGCATGGGCCAAAATTTTACCACGTACTGATGATCAGCACGAACGTCAAGATAAGGTTGGCAGGAGTTTTCTCATGCGTTTATTCAATTTGTTTGATCGAGGGGGTCGGGGTAGTTTGAGTTTCCAGGCAAGTGTTTATACACCTTTGCATTGCTATATGCTAACCTAAGGATCTTTAGGATATCGTGATTGCTTTAGGTGGTATACTCAAAGGAGATCATAACGCACAGATCTCTCTCTTTTTCAAAGCACATGATCCAAATCAGAATGGATACCTTGAGCGAGAACAAGTGTTGCAATTCTCGGAGACCTTGCTTTGGATATTCCGTGACACCCAAGACGAGGGACCTCTCGACTCTGTATCCGAATTCCTACGTTGTGCGTTCATGTATTCTGAAAACAATGCTCATCGTGTTGAAAAAAGCCTTTCCTTGGCATCATTAAGGTGTGCATGACTCTTTGTGTGTCATGGTTGCTGAATTAACCAGAATGTACATAGGATGATTGTCTTGGCAGATGAGCTTTTGATGGACTTTTTCACACGTGGATTTGCAGACTCGTTCAAGTTGCTCGTACAAAAGTCATCAATATCCAATGCAGAAAAGCGTCGTAGCTTTACCGATATTCTGGATGGTCTATTTGCTCTATCATCTTACTCTGGAGGGGAATCGAGATCAAGATTAGGATCCATATCCTCCATTACTACGTCCTTTAGCAATGGGAAGGAATCAAGTAATGGCGCCATCAACATCAACAACAACAAAACATCACGACCACCCTCGATGATCGTATCACAACAATTGACCCAGGAACCACAATCAGTATCGAATGAGTCAATTCGAAGCAGGGCCAAAAGTAGTGGATATCAGCGGTAGATCAATCAAATGTTGTTGTTGTATTAAAGCTTAGAGTTTCCATGGTGAATGATATCAAGTATATTGCACAGCCTCGGCTGCATGTGGATCAACAGGAAATTGGTAGGTAGTACAGGATTGTGTAACATTAACCAAAAACGACATGGCAGAAAGGACTAAAATGGTGGGAGAGAAGAACCCATGCAAGGGAGAATGGTGGGGGTGGTGCACAACATGTGTATATAGAAGTAGTGCAGATAACATGGTTGCAATACATGAACAATCAACCCCTTTTAACAATCAATGCAGCGTATTAGACAAGGTCCATGCGCGTGTCAGTTGGATCCAAGGGCGATGCACACTCAGATTTAAGGTTTTTTGGATGAGCGGTTACAATCATGAAATAATCCTTTCCTTCCTTCTTTCCTTCTTCTTTCTCTTTCCTTGTTGCATTTATTATATTCACCTTTCACCCTATACTTTCCCTCACCCCCATTTGCCTCTATATAAAAACCTTATTGTCCCAACGTGGCTGCCAACCGATATCGTGGCAATAAAGGGCAACTCCTTCACTTTCTTTATTTGACCCACATTCGCCTTCAACACAACCACCTCCATTACCACCACCACCACCGCCATGACTTTATCGCATACAACTTCAGTATCACCTCGTCGATCCAACAATTTCTTACACGCCGACCGACCATCATTGGACGAACTACGACGATCGTCTACCAAATGGCTGAATGGTGGTAGCAGCAATGGCAGCAATCTATTTCGCATTGGGAGTTCGCTTGCACGAAGGGCCACCTCCATGACACCAGCACCTTCTCGGTCGACACCCCACCCTAGAGCCTCTTTACAAGAAACCAGGACAACAAAGATACGAGCAAAGCCTAGCTTTGATGGACGTTCCAGAATTCGCCAAGAGAACGGGAATACCGGCACGGATATATATGATAGTGCTCATGTTGTTGCTCAGCAAGGTAATGAATGAATAAGGCTTTGAGACACCTTTTTTGGATGTATCCTTTTTCTTTTTTTCTCTTTTTTCCTCACCGTTTTGATACAAAAAGATCGGGATCCATCATCCGGCATGCAATCGACGTTGACGGTTCTATATTGCGCTTATCTATCGGTCGTTGCCCGGGAATTCAGACGACGCATTATTCTTGTGGATCGTGTCAAGAATGGTATCGAATACAAGAACGTATTTGATGGACGAGAAGCCATTGTAAGATTACATGTGATGATCCTTCCTCCTCCTCCTCCGCTTCCGAGTAACCGATGCAAACAAACAATAGGACACACTGGCAGACATCATTGGCAATACACAACGACGCGATATCGCTCTTCGATTAGGACGCGCGCTTGGTGCACAACGCTTTTTTCACGATGTCAACTATGAGAGCCGATTGGTCGACACATTTACCGAAATATACCAGTTTTACGACGACAATGATTATTTTGGTACAAGCAGCAGTGATAGCAGCGTCATTGTATCCACCACTGGAACAGAGGATTCGATCGAGGCAACAACACCCGAATATGATTCATCCATGGAACAACAACAACATCAACAACAACAACCATCCACGTTGCCGAATGGTGTCTTTACAGACTTGACCTATTGTTATGTGCCCACTTGTGTCGGCAAAAAACCGTGCTACAGCCACACTTGCCCAAAACGGGAGGTAGGCCCGATCAAAAGAATCTTTTTTTATACATGAAGCGTATCACTCACTTTATATCATTGTTGACAGAGATTGCACAAGCGTCCTGACAGTATCGATGCACGTCTTGCACGATCCACAACGCATGCATACCTGCGACAACAAGAACAACAACTTTGGTCAAATACGGCTCCACCTTACATTGCAGCAACGGTGTCTTCCAGTGAAAGAAAACGCCAAGAAACCATCTTTGAACTTGTGTACACCGAAGAGAACTTTGTAAAAGATCTTGAATACATTCATGATGTAAGTATTCTTGTTATTGGAGGGGGAGGAGAGGATCAAAGCTTAATTATGAGGTGGCTTTTGTAGATGTGGATACAGCCATTACAAGAACGCGACATCATTCCTGAATCACGGCGTGAGACGTTTATCAATAAGGTGTTTTGCAACATTATGGCGATTCATCAAGTGAATCATCGTTTCCTTTCGGCATTGCGTGTACTACAAGAAGAAAATCCGATTGTGGCACAAATCGGCGATGTGGTGCTGGATTTTGTTATGCAATTGGAACCGTTTTTACTCTATGGTGCACGACAACATGAAGCAAAGTACATGCTGGATCAGGAGCGTGTCAATAATAAAAAGTTTGCAGTATTTGCGGAGGTAAGAAAAGATTGAATTATCACCCATGCGTTTGATGTTTACTCAACTTTTATGCACATTCATTCAGGAAACAGAGCGTGATCCATCGTCGTACAGGCTTGAATTGGATGGTTACCTGAGTAAACCCACAGCTCGGCTTGGTCGCTATACCCTGTTTCTGGATGCCATATTGAAACACACCCCACCGGATAATCCAGATCGCATCAATATACCAAAGGCAACTGATATCATCAAACAATTCTTGACACGCGTCAATGAAGAGAACGGCAAAGCCAAAAATCGATTCGATTTGGAACGCATCGACCAAAAGCTGCTCTTTAAATCTGACAAAGTGGTAAGTCGTGGTGTTGGGTGGGTCAATGCAAAAGAGCTATTCATATCGAGCATATAACAATAGGATCTCAAGCTCTTGGAGCAAGATCGAGTCTTGGTGAAGCAAGTCAAATTATGCAAGAACCCAAATGCTGATGCACCACCCAATTACCTCGTATTGCTGTTTGATCATTATCTGGTGATGACCAAAGTCAAAATGATTAACCGACAGGAGCGATATGTGGTGAAGCGGAGGGTAATTATATCATATGCAATCATCGGAACGGCATCGTAACTTATCGCCTCCCCCGTACGATTTCTCTATAGCCCATCCCTTTGGAATTATTGGAGGTTTCCTTACCAGCAGCACCACGTCGATCCAGCTCCATTCTTCCATCCATGAGCCACGCCAATCGTGCTGATCCATCCGCTGTCCCTAACAGGCAAACGGCTGGTAAAGCAACCTTTCCCATTGTGTTCCAGCATATTGGTAGGAGGGGTACCAACACGAGTCTCACCTTGTACGCTCCTGCATTGCCGATCCTTAAGCCTTGGGTGGAACAAATTCGGATTCAGCAAAGCCTAAGATCAAAGCGTGAGCCTGTATTTGCCATGATACCTGCAGTACAAGAGCATCGATTTTTGGATGATGTTCGTATCAATCACATTGTTACCTTTAGTAAGTATTCCTCTTCCTCTCTTCTTCTCATTGCTCACAATGCATCGGATGATAATAGACAATGGGCAGCAATATGTTCTTGCAACGGATGCTGGTGTCTATGTTGGCCATACTGGAAGATCAAGCAAACCCCACAAGATATTAGCTGTGGATAGGGTGGCCCAAGTACAAGTATTGGAGGAAGCACAATTGCTCTTAATACTAGCAGACAAGACTTTGTATGAATATAGTTTGGATGTCGTGAACAACAAGCCCGAAGAACAAGCCGCTGGTCGACCTATACAATCCCATGTACCCCATTTTCATGTGGGTTCAAGTCTCGGACGCAAGCTTGTGTGTATTCCACGCGTTACGACTCCTTTGAACACCAACATCACCCTTTTCGAACCATCACGACCCAATCAAATGGAACGCAACAAGCGATTTCTCGGCAAAATCGTCAAAAAGTCATCATCATCTTCATCATCATCACCCTCCGACATCCATCTCAAAAAATTCAAAGAATGTTATATACCAAGTGAAGCCTGGGCCCTCGAGTTATCTCAAAGTCAGATGTTGATCACCTGTCCTCGAGGAATCATCATGGTAGACCTACGCTCTAATCAAACACAACGTAAGTAAAAAGAACACAAAGACACCATCATGAATCATTGTTCCCTAACTTTGTCCCTTTAGAAATGCTGAATCCAGATGACAGGAGCCTATCGTTTATCACTGAACGTGAAAAGGATGAATCCCGGTTAAACATACGAGCACCCATGAAGCATATTGCTGTTTTTCGTGCAGTGCGAGGTGATCATTTTGTTTGCTATGATGGTTAGTGTTCGTCCTATACAGTGGTGATGAGTGCTAACTTGGATATGGATAGAATTTGGTTTCTATATTGATGGCAGAGGTAATCGCAATCATCGCAACTTTAAGATTGAGTTTGAAGGTTCTCCTGAAGCCTACGCTTTTGCTTATCCCTACGTTGTTGCCTTTGAGCCAAATTTTATCGAGATCCGCAATGTCGTTACTGTAAGTTGGATGGATGGATGGATGTCTTTTTTTCCAAATACGTTGTATCCTAAGCGTTCTTTGTTTGTATAGGGTGCCCTTGAGCAGATAATACGTGGCAGAGATATACGCTGTTTAAACAATGGACACAAGACCGAGAAACCCTTCATTTATGGCGTTATGGGTGATCCATCCCAGCCTACATTTCAGTACATATTCCAACTGCAGCCTCTCTTTACCAATTGACACCTCCTTTGTATCTTTATTACTCCCGCTTTTCCCTCCCAACCAACAACACCATCCTAATACCTATATACATGCCATTTTGACTTGAATAATACAATACTTTATATATGCATTGAACAACCGATGAGCGTCAGGTGCACAAAAATTGCGTGATTTCTCACGCATACTAACAAAAAATGACATTATGAATTCCTTATCTCTCTCTTTCTCTTTCTCGTTTTCGCATTCTACACACTCACGGCATGGTCTTTGATCCTCAACTCAATATCCCAATCCTTGACTTGTCGCAATATCGACCTGGGGATCCATCATCTCAAGCTGATACGGATTCATTTCTTGAACAGCTACATACAGCCATGCGCGATGTGGGATTCTTTTATATCAAGAATCATGGCGTATCTGAAAAATTGCAACAGGATTCACTTGAGCTTACAAAGACCTTTTTCGCTTTGCCCGTGGAAGAAAAGCTAAAGATCGAAACAATAAACTCCCCTCATTTTCGTGGTTACGCACGTTTAGGCAAGTTGTTGTTGTTGTTGTAATCCTATGTAATACCCTTTTGACTGATACACGCATCCTTTATATAGACTCAGAGACCACAAATTACAAACAAGATCATCGAGAACAACTTGATATCGCTCGAGAGCAACCAGCTGTATCCATGGATTCACCCTACTATCTCCATATGCAAGGCCCAAACCAATGGCCCAAGGACCCACCTGAGTTGAAGGAAACGATTTTGGAATTTATGGATGAGTTGACCAAAGTAGCCCGATTGCTGCTAAGTGCTATGGTCAAAAGTGTCAAGGTGATTGATCACGACAGCTTTATGAACATGTTTACGGATGACGCGTGCACTGTACGCATGAAATTGGCAAGCTACCCTGCTGGCAGTGTTGAAACCACAAAGGATGGTGGATGGGGTGTTGGACCTCATAAGGATTATGGCATTGTCACGGTACTTTTTCAAGATCAAGTGGGTGGGTTACAAGTTCAAACGCATCATGGCGAGTGGGTGGTAAGTGATGGTGGTGGTGTCTCCGAACAAAGATGTGATGTGGTCAGTGCGCATTAATGCAAACGTTGTCTAATGTAAAAGGACGTTACGCCTATTCCAAACACATTTGTTGTAAACATTGGTGAAGTCTTTGAACGTTTGACACGTAAACGTTTCGTTGCCACCACACATCGTGTCAAGGTGAGCGATAAGCATCGTTATTCATTGCCTTTGTTCCTGGGACCTCGATTGGATGCACGTATCCCAGAGCTTGTGGATGATGGAGAGCCAACAAAGGAAGTGACAGATGTAAAGCAAGATCAATTACTGCAAGATCCAATCTACGGCGTGAACCAGATCAATGGGTACCTCCGTAGCCATAAGCGTGTGGCGGCACGTTGGTATCATTATGATGAGCAGACCCAAGAATGGAAACGGCGAATGACACCATTTATTGCCTAGCGTTCTTTTTTCTCTCTTGTAAATTATCTATGCAGTCTCTTTTTCGTACTCGTGTCAGTAAACGACGCTTTTTTATTATCCTTGTTGTCTTCTCTCTTGCTTCATTCACCATCCTCTTTCAACATGGACTGTCATCGCCCTCTCTTTATACGTAAGCTCAACTTGGATTACTTGACCATCGGATCAAGACAAGCTCATGCGTGCGTGTATGTATGTGTCTATCTCTCTCACTAGCACTGACAAGAAGATACCCAACAAACCATCCTTGTTTATTGCTGCCAACTTGTATAACAACGAGCCTATTCTCAACTATTGGATGACTGAAGTCGAGCGACTGGCACAGTGGGCAGGTCCTTCTCGTGTGTTTATCTCTGTATATGAGAATGGTAAGAAAAAAGCTATCATTGTCGATGATGACTTGGTTGAATGCTCGCTCACATCATGAATAGGTAGCAAAGATCAAACCAAAAAGATACTGGCCTCTTGGCGAGATCGATTGGAAGAATTGGATATCCCACACAGCATCGTTACAGACGACCAACCAAAGATCACAGCCGACTCGATCAGGCGGATTGTAACACTGGCCAATGTGCGTAACCAGGCGTTGGCACCCCTCTTTGAAAACGCCAATGGATCATCATCATCATCATCATCTTCCTCCTACGACCGTATCGTCTACCTAAACGACATTGTATTCCGCTTGGAGGATGTTTTAAAGTTACTCGATACCAATGGTGGTGATTTTGATGCAGCATGTGGTCTTGATTTCTTTGGTCGCTTTTACGATGTGTTCGCCACACGTGAAATTGATGGTCGATGGGTGGGTTCAGGCGACTACCCCTACTTTGCTGATGAAACGAGTCAAAAGCTGCTACGACAAGGACAACCGGTACCTGTTTATAGTTGCTGGAATGGAATGGCCGTGTTTGCTGCAGAGCCCTTTATCAATCACCATCTCCAATTTCGAGCCATATTGCCAAAGGAACCACAACCACCCGTCGAAGCATCCGAATGCTGTCTCATTTTCACTGATTTGCGCGATGTACAAAAGGACGCACGTGTATTTATTAATCCCAAAGTCAGGGTAAGATGATAATGCTACTACTACTACATCTTTGGTGGTACTACTAGCTAAGGCTAATCTCATTTCCAATAGGTCGCTTATGACTTGTTCCATTACTGGTATGCTCGTACGATACTCCCACTTTGGAACCCATTCATGCTACTGTACAATCACCCAAATCACGACATGGACAATGAAAAGGAAGCTGAATGGACATATCAGGTTCACAAGGCATATGACATGGGGGTCGATGAACGCGATTACATCTGTTTGCAGCCTCGGTAGATAGACGTTGTATGTATGACGATGCTTGGAAGTGTGAATAAAGCCGATATGAAGCATTTGAGATGAGGATATATGTATGTAGGTGGATTACAATGTACAATTATTGATCCAGAATAAAGCATTTATGATGTACGTATAATAGAAGGATGAAGGTATTAACAATATAGAGAGTATGTAATATCATAAAAGCTACTACTGCAGGTTGAAGTTGAGGTGAATGCATGTTACTGTTTGGTCGGACTGATCACTGATTCGGATACGGCCATCCAACGGCAACCTGGGAATTTCCTTGGGAATAAACGCTATTTTGGTAAACATGATCAGCACGGCGTTGTATCTTCATGAAGGAAACAAACAAACAAATACCTAATGCTTCCAACACAAGGTCGCCAGCAGGCAAAGGACAGCTCAAATCCCCTTTGATAATATCGGATTCCAATACATTGCAAAGGTCAAGGTCTTTTTGTACTTTGATCATAGACAACAGATTCAAGTCAATGGACACCTTGCCACCTGTAACCTCGGATACTGTCGTGGACAAACACCATTATCAGCCATTCCCATGTCAACCTATAGCATCATGTACTTACAAAGGTTGCCATTGATCCGCACGTTGATATCTTGGCCTGCATGAGGTGTAGCTGGTGAAATATAGACCCCGTCTTCGTATGCCCTCAATAGGTGCGAGCTGGGATCATCGCATAAAGACCAAATTTCGCCATGGCGTTCGGGTGACATGAAGGGCTGTTGGATAGGATGGCCAATGACGACCGTTGCCATTGCAACTAAAGAGAGGAAATGGAGTCGCATGTGTGTGTGTGCGTGTGTGTGCGGGGAGAGAACGAAAGAAAGAAAGAAAGAAAAAGAGGCAAAGCAATTAAGGGATCTGATGACGAAAGTTGCGTATTCTTCTCTGATACCATTCTTTTTTAGGAACTATGTATGTGTATATGTATATAACAAGCTAACCAAAGTAATGCGCTATGGCCCACATGAATGCAATAGTAATGATCAGACCAACAATAAAGATCCATTTATCTTGGGCTGTCCTTCGTTCAATATATCGGATAACGTTCTTTGATAATCCCAATGTGTTGGCAGCATCCAATAGCCTCTTTTGTGTTTTCTATGTAACAACAAAGGTTAATAACATTCATGCAAACCACCCACCCCATCTCCGTCTCCACTATTTACCTTCAATACACCATGTTGATCTGTCAAATTCTCCAAAAGGTTTTGTGCTTGAGTAATGAAATCATCAAGCTGAGAATCGGTCGAATCGACAAAAGCGGATTCTCGCATGGCAAATTCGGATCGGGAGAGATAAGGATATTCCTGGTGTCATTCGATTCCATTAGCCCTAGCCCTATTCACTCTCTCTACCAGCACACTTACGGAAGAAGATTCAGTCGTTGTTTGATGTCGGCCTCTTCTCGCTAATAGGGAATCACGGTTTTGTTCAAGTTGCTGAGCTGCTGCTTGCTTTTTAAGACCTTCAAATCGTGTTCGCATCCCTTGCAAATCTTCTCGAAACTTGGATACACGGCTAATATACACACTTTAGATATTGGATCCTCCTCCTCCTCCTTGTACAACAACCCATATCCTTACTTTAATGCGGTCTCCTTTTTGACCGTTACCATCTCACGTTTAGCAAGGTTGTCATAGTCGTCGATGGATCGTTGTAACGTGCTAAAGGCAGCTGTTATTTGACCTATTCAAAAGATACATTCTGCACTTGTTAGCTTCCAACAGTACCTTTATTTTATATACACCCCGTGGACAAGTTACCTTGTAATCCTGCCGATGTGTCTTGTCCGGATGCGAATTCTGTTGCAAACATAAAGGTCAATGAGCTTGGATAGTGTTGGCTTTGGAATTGCAGGTGAACGTACTATCAAGATCTCGCTGTAGCGCATTGGATTGCTTTAAAGCATGATTGTAAAGTGAATTCATGCCGAGGATATAGGGAAGGGAGGGAGTGTATAGTAGGTATGCACGAGTGCTAGGATCAAAGGAGCGAATGATACGCCACGTCAATGCCAGCACTTTTTTTTCGAGTCAGCTGTGAATGATTGCAGTTGTGCCTGAGTAGCAGCAAATCCCTCCAATACACACATGTTGTCTCTCTCTTGGGACCTTAGATACCATCAACGACACATGATACTTTTGTTTATAAGAGTAGAAGAATATAATGCGAGTGGAATATGCAAAAAAACATTGACGATATTTACAGTGGAATAATAGAGTCTCTAAAGTTACTTTAAATCGTGGTACAATTTATGGATGAAATGGGTCCAGAGCGTCGCAGACGCTGGCATCGATGATAATGATAATGACTTGAATTCCCGGAAAACGTCATGAGCACCTTGAAGGTCTTTACCAGCTACCATGGCATGAAGAGCGTAATAATAGGATCGAATAAGAGGTACTGGTGATGAGGATGATGTGGCATCGGCGGTTGTTGTTGTTGTTGTTGTTGTTGTTGACAAGTTGGTTGATTCTTTAGGTCTAGGTCGTTCATCCATTCTCCAAAACCTTTGCACAGCTTCAAGATCACCAGCAGAGTATGCACCATAAATCATAAGATCGAATGTCGCAATGTCAGGTGTCACCTTCTCGTCGACCATCTCTTGAAACACTTGCGCGGCTTTAGGATACCATTCGACGGATTGAACAAGACCCATAATTAATGCATTGTAGTGGAATGTGTTGAGAACAGTCTCCTTGCTTTTGAGCGTGGTCCAAAACTGCCAGGCATTTTCAGGCATATTGAGACGTGCATAGGCTGTTAATAATGCTGTATGAGCGAGGTGATCGGGATGGGCGATAGCGGCATAACTTTGTTGAACACCAAGTGCATGTAATTCACGTCGTGATAACTCGTTTTGCTCCTTTTCAAATTGTTCCTTCTCTTCCTCTTCCTCTTCTTCTTCATTGGGTTCTTCATCAAAAGACCATCCAGGATCCCATTCCAAATCACGTGCACCTGCCACGCCATGGGCTTCAATAAGCATTGTCAAAGCGGGTCGATCGAGGGGTTCTTGATCATCCGTCAACTTCCATAAGCTACGGAGCACTTGGATAGCCTTGGAAGGTTCTTCATGCGTGGGTGAGTGAACAAACATGGATGCAAGGATGGTATAAGTCGTCAAATTCGCGGGTATGCCTTGGTCCATCATTTCACTCAGCACCTGGTATGCCTTTTTGTATTCATGTGTTCGTGCATATGCTTGGATCAATGGCCCATAAAGATGTGCTGTTGGTTGTAATGCATTGGGCGCCTTACGCATCAATTGAATCACCGTGTGTGCCTTTTCAACGTCACCCGTCTCCACATAGCCAAGAACAAGATGCGCGTACACGTATTCATTAGGAAGGATCCCTTTGCCCACCATTGCTTTGAGCGTCCGCTCAGCAGCCGCCATGTCACGTTTCAACACCGCATTGCGAATTGTGGTTGCATAGGCAATAATATCTGGACTCAATCCTGATTCAACGGACGCTAATACGTTTGATAATCGACGCTCCAAATTGCCAACATCTCCTCCTCCTCCTCCTTTGACCTTGCCATTGATATCCAGTGCAATGTTGAATGTCCTGTCATTGGGTGTAATGCCATGTTTCTCCATATCCAAGAACACGGCTTCCACATCCTTCAAGCGTCCCATCCTTCCATAAGCTGTAAGAAGCACATTAAAGGTCACCACATCAGGCGTAATGTTTTGCTCATCCAAGGAATGAATCAGCGTCTCGAGCTTGTTCAAGTATCGCCGACTTTGTCCATTGCTTTCCTTGATACGACGTAGATACGCTGCTGCCAGCTTGTTATAGGTGCGTTGGGTGGCAGGTTGATCACAATAGGTGCCCATGGTCCTTAACATCACCTCGGCTCTTTCCAATTGATCCAATCGATCCAATAATTCCAATACAATGCGAAACTCGTTTTCATCCAAATATAACCGAGTCGATCGTACATAGCTGAGGAGCGAGTTGAGGCGTCTATTGTGCAATACAAGCTGATGATTCTTGGGGTCGTTGCGGATATCCGCCCGTAACGATGCAAGCATGCGTTGTATAATCGTCCGTGGGCCTGGCGATGATTCGCTGTCACGTGGCAACTGCTCAAACGCTTTCCATGCAAGATCGGTTTCCTTGGCATCAAGATGCGAGAGAATGGTCACAGCCGAGGATATTGCTTGTGGCGAAAGAATCGACTTGTCGATTTGGGAGGAAATGTGAAGAGGAATGCGTCGCTTGGCAGCTCGTTTGGCTTCAATGGTGCTGGTGCTGTAAAACGCGTCTGTACCCGCTGTGGTGGTTTCAACAACTTGAGCCGTAGACCGCTTGTCAGCTACATGAACACATGTCATTAGTTGGATTGCACTTTTGACTTTGTACAGGTGTCGTCAACAATACCTTTACAGGAGCAACTGGAGAATGCGCGTCGTGTTGATGATCGGGTTGCTGCTGCTGCAGTGGGTAGGTTCCGAGAAGTGGGTGTGTGCATGTGTAGAAACAAGACTCGCCATTGCTGTAAGAGTCGTTGGTTGACATGCTGGCTTGCAATCGAATGCAGCTGTCGGCACTGCCAATGGGTCATGGCAGCGTGTTGAAGGGGTTGTTTTGTTTTTTGGGAGCAAAGGAACGTCAAGCTGCAAATCCCGACAACAAAAAAACATTTCTATCGAATGATGATTCTCTCCATCTAACTCAGTGTAAATGGCCCCGGCCAGTGCCTCCACCCACCCACCCCACCCACTCAATATCCTTTGTACTTTTGCATTATTCAATGTTACGCTATCTTTTCCTATCAACTTAATAAAGTCATCCACCCTTGTCCTGCGGAGGTGTAATTTCCAACATAACACTGCTGCTGATGATGTCCTTTACTCCTCCTCACTCATCATGCAACATAATAATAGCGCTCATCATCATCATCATCATAACCTACGTACGTGAAAGCTAAACCATGATTGCAATACCATATATCGATTCATCCATGTGGGAAATGGTCCCATGACTTGTACATAGCCACATGTCTATTGGAAGTAAATAGTCAATTGTGTGTGGAGAAGATTTGTACATGATAATACTAATCACACGTCTCGAGTCATCACAAGACGTAGGATGATCTCTGTTTATTCACTATACGTCATAAAGAACGCATACGCACACAAGCCGGTAACCACCCCGATACAAAGAACAATATACAAGTTACATAAACAACCATTGTGCTGCTATACAAGATAAAAAGGAGAAGAGAAGGATAATAATAGGATCACGAGTGTCGAGTCAGCTGATCTGGAGAAATGTGAAGGTTTCCGAATTGTTGTTGGAACCTTGTATTGTCGTGAGTGAGATGAATAGGAGGGTGGTGGTCTTGTTGATGCTGTTGTTCATTAGGTGGCGGTGGAGGGAGTCTGTTGCTGCTTTGAGAAGGTGCTGGTGCTGGTGCTGGATGAGGATGATGCATCATGGCAGGCATTTTACCACTTTTTAGATCCTCAATCATCTGCTCAAGGTCTCTGACCCGATCCTGGTACCGTGACAATTCTCCTTGTAGTTCCTTGATGTGATCGACCGATAATTTCAAAATCGTCCCTTTGTTGATAGCTCGCGTGTTGTTGCCGGGGGTACCTTGATTACTTGAAACCGTCATTACATTGGAACTGGTAGGCGCTGTCTCCAACAAATGCTCGGGTAGCAATGTGCATAGCTCTATGTATTATGAATGATACATCATCAGTCATTGTTGTTGTTATGGTGCTAATATAGAATCATTACCATGGATACGTTCGTTGATATTATCTCGTCGTCTTCTTTCAACCGCATTATGTGATTCACGACGCCGTCGACGTTTTTCAAAGATCTCTTGGAGACTATATAGTGTGTGAGCCATCCATCGTTGTAGCTCGTTTTATTTTCACACACGCACACACATGCACACACACTTACTTTCGCTGCTGCGCTTCATCTTCTTCGCCTGTGAATCCATCGATATGACTGGTCGAAGTAGAAGGTGAAACAACCAAATCACGGCCATTAAAGATAGGCGATTGGCCAAAGGAAGAGCTTGTAGAATCGAGGCTGGTTCCAAACCAGTTTTGAGCATTATTGGGGTCACCAAAAGGAATACCACGCCCACCCGGTGGACTCATTGCAATGGAGGCAGCTGCACCAAAGCTACCCTGTCGTTGATGGTGATGTAACTGGTACGATGAGGAAGGTGGTGGTGGGTTGAAAAGCCGACTGTTTCGTGCAACAGGAACAGCACCAACGGTGGTGTGTGGACTACTTGTACTTGTCCCAGGTGTCGGTGAAAATGGATGATCGCCTTCAAGATTAAAAGACTGATGTGTGGGTGAATACATGGCTTATTTTTAATCTTTGAATAATAATGAGAATGATAAAGAAAAAGAGAGAGTGTGTGTGTGAGTGTGTGTGAGAGTGAGAGAAAGGAAAAAAGGAGAAAGAAAGGGCTTTGATAAAGAAACCAGGGTGACTATCTGGATCGTCCGTGAGAAAAAGAAGGGGAGAAAATGGATATTTGGGACATGACATAATGTTGCATAAGAGGAGACCTTGATCAGGACAGCACGGGCCGATAAGGGTAATACAAATGAAACGCACGACGACACGGGGGACATATCAACCACTTTAAAATTTCCTTTTCAAGGCGGTGGATGGGTTCTTTATCAGTAGTTTGATACCGCAGCTTCTTTGACTCAGTCATTCTAAGATGCTTGACCACTTTATCAGCTCCATCACGATCTTCTTTAACAACAATTCCCACGCTCATGCACCATAAAAGCAAAGCTGTTATCACCAATATCATTATCACACATCTCTTTCGCTATTGCATATATCATCGCTTGGTGGTAAGTGTCAAGCAGAGCCTGTGTAAAACCATCAATTGATGAGGTCGCATTTATTCTTGTAATCGTCTATGTGTCTTATTATGCAAACAAGGAATGTCAGATATATCTCCACAAAAACATGATGTTGCACAGTTACTAAAACTATCAGGCTGCAAGATACAATGATGGGAGTTGGTTAAGCGAGAGGTTGAAGAGTGTGCCTGTTGCCGCACAATGAAATCTTATGATAAGGTTGTGTATTTGGATTGTCATTGCATGGTATGGAAAGCGCTTTATTTTGCATCCTGCTCTATAACTGAATAGCGATACCCATTCTAAAGTAGCTATGGGGTAATAAATAGATGCCGTAGATTGGCAAGCAGAAGGCAACTCCAGCCAGAGGGTAAATTGAGAGCTTCTTTACGGGTGGCGATATGGGCGGGGGCCTTTTCGATGTTTGCAGGGAAGGACAACGGGAAACAATCACCATCATCATCACCAATGATCTTCTGCCACAAAAGGTACAATTTCACTCGTCTTGCCTTTTCCTTGCTGCCATCTTTCAAGGATCCTGTACATTCTTTCTTGACTACTTGGCCTTGACATGTTCACAGTTGGCACAATCCGCCCAATTTCGATGCTGCTGATAAATGCAGCCAGCTCACGAAAACTTGAGTGTTCCGAGTAAGGCACACCATAAATACGGATGCTGCGACTGGACTCTTTCTGCGGCTTGATGGCGACTTGTTGTTGGGGTTGCATGGCTGTGATCTCTGATAATGGATGATCTTCCAGCGTCTTTTGTCCTCCTCGAAAAGACCATCCTGTGGGTCGAAACGCCACAATCGATGTAAATGTAGGCTTGAGCTGCTTCAAATAGTTCTCCAAGTTCTATATAAAAAATGTCAACACACATCGATACACTATGAATGAATAGACATCTGCAACAACGAACCTGCTTCTTGAGATGCATGATAGGGAGTGCATGAACTTGTGCCTCTCGTGGGTCATCGGTTAACAAATCCTCCAGTTCTTTGTTCTCCAAGCATGCAATGATCCGCTTTTTCCGCCCATTCACATAGATCTTGCTGCGAAGTCTCTTTGCAATATCTGCACATCACCATGTCAACAAAGAAATCATCACAACAACAACCCCCCTTTTTGGGCAAGTTTACTTACGATAAAACACTTTCTCCTTGCCGACTGAATACGTTCCCACCACAATCAAAACTTTGGGTGTTGCTCTTTGTAACCATGCCTCCAAAGCTCCCAAGGGTTCATTCATGACTTGTTCAGTGACATGCCAAGCTGCTTCAATTGCCTTTTCTTGACTTGGAAATGTGTAGCCGCCATGGAGATAGGTGGTGTCGAGATAAAGCGTATCAATGGATATCCCCTTCATAGAAGGATGCAAGCACATGCGTGGATTGGCTCGAAAATCGCCTGTATGCAAATGGTGTGCAACACGTCCATTCGGTAAGGTCACCTTGAATAGGAATAGTACGGCACCAGGGCAATGATTGGCATCGATCAAGGTTACGCTCACGGTATCACTCATTGTATGCTCTTGATCCATCGCTAACACACAAATGTATTGCTCATCGACACGTAGCTGCTGTCGTACAAGGTTGGCTGTGATTTGAGAACAATAAATGGTGCCATAGGTCCATGATTTGCGTAATCTGGTATAATGGTCGGCATGGAAATGTGATAAAAAATATCCATCGCATCCAGGTATGGCGCCATAAGAGAATGCATCCACTGTATACGTTGTGTCTAGTAGTAACAGTAGCCATCAGTGTAACCATGGCAACAGCAATGTTCCCCATTCTTTACTAAAGTACTACTAACCTTGGACCCATTTATAAAAAGGTACTTCCTTTTTACCACTTGCTGTCATCGTAGTATCATTTGCTGCTTGTTGTTCAGTAACGGGTGACGTTTTGGGTATCACTGGCTTCACTGATGCTGATATGGAATCACTCAATTGCTCAGAGCTGACATCATCATTCGATTCCTCTTCTGGTATGGCTGTATCTTGTTCTGATGAACCTTTTACAATCTTGCTGATCGATTCAGGGATACTGGTCAAGATCGATTTCCATGAGGATGACTCTGCTGGTGGTGGTGTATCGAGACAATGGTTGACGTGCCTTGTAAAGTGATCAGGCGAAGAGCCATCAAAGCACCTGTTGCATACAGGACATAGCTGCTGATCGTTTGCATCCACAGAGCTAGACTGCTCACATCCAGTGGACTCGGTTAATGACAGCTGAATGGCTTGCTCAAGATCCGTTGTATACTGATCGCATGGTGGTGGTGGTGCTGCTGCATTGGCCGGCTTTTTAAAGTAATCGCGAACACTCGATGAATCGACCGACGATTGCCGTTTACGCTTATTCTTAGGGTGTCGAGTAGGGAGGTGGGATGATATTTCAGTGGCACCCATGGATACAAATTGGTTGAGAGGAGCAAGAAAGAAAGAGTCGAATATGAAACCAAGAGCTGCGGAAAGCGGATCAATGCATCCCGAACATCCCACGCACAAAGGGCAACTTTGTATCACCACGATGAAATGGCATGCATGAATACTGTACGAGTCACCACCAGCAACGAGGTTCAGATCCCTTCTTCTTCTTGTTGTCGACCTCCTTGACTTCCATCACCTGGTAGCACCTTTTATCAAGATGAGTCACCACTCAAAGTATGTACCATTGTATATGATAGTCATACCACCACAAAGGATTCTTCAGGGATAGATATCCTTAAGACACCAATAATAAAGCAATGAAGAACTACGTAAAAGATGACAAAGACCAATGCATGAGTGTCCTGCTAATATGAGACAACCAACAAAGAAGCTATCATTGGCACTTTCCAACAATAGGACCCTTGATGACACGGTAGGTGGGTGATGACAATATGCAATTGGTTTCCATGCAAGAAAATGAGGTTGTTGTGATGGATTGCCTTCTTACGTAGAATCCCAAATCGAAAGAGCTGATGTAAAGCTATCTACTGCCTACGCAAGTCGTAATTGTACATAGGAGACTCAAGTATGTCCTCTCTCCCTGTGATGTGTGCTTATGAATGTGATAGGATTCCAATACATATCATGAAGGATGAACAAGCGCCTCATAGAAGGATGGTGATCTCGTATATTTATATTAACTGATATCTGAGCAGCTACGGAAGGTGTTGTTTGGATAATAGACAATGATGGATGATGATGATAGATGATGATGGAGGGTGGTGGTGATGGTGTTGAATGCGGGGGATGAGCTGCTGCTGCCTTCATGCAAATTACATGTGATATGGGCGAATCGTGTCGTCACTTGCAGGCTGGCATCATTTTACTCTAATGCAGCATCCAAATACTTTTTGATATGTGTCAAAAGCTCCTTCTTGATGTTCTCGTTCACTGATCCTAATCATAAAGCACCATCAGAATGCTTCTTCAGCTATATATCAAACATCCCTTTTTACCTCGGCCATGTTCTGCTGCCTCTTTGACAAGATCATCCATAGTAATGCTCGCCAAGTTACGACTCCTCACAGTATCTATTCAAATGCATCTATAAATCTCCCATCCTTGTATATCAAATAAAGACATACCTCGGCAGAATGCGTAGAGATTGTCGTTCCAACCCGATTCAACAAGTCGTGCACGTAATATACTCATGAGCCTTGTCGATGGAATCAGTACTATGCTCGTCAACCAAATTTACTTGATAAAGTCACCAACCTTTCTTTCTCGCCTGAATCGACGAAATGTCTACTAAGCGCTATGCGCATCTTTTCTGATTCACTCATAGTGGGTTACTTGTCGTAGCGATCGAGTGGAAAGCTTGGAGCGGAGGAAGTCCTTGAAAATTACAACACAGGCGGTGTGCATAAGTCACCCAGTCATACGTTGTGCATTGGTCGTTGTTTTTTATGGTATCTTATCTCGTATCACCATTACATCTCATTAGCCATCAGTGAGTTCTCAAATAAAAACTTGTATTTGACTATGAAAGCATCTCTGTAACGCTGAATCAGCAGCAACACATGTATACATGGAGCAAAGCGGGGGTTGCACTACAAGTTGTTGTGTGTGGATGCAGCTGATTTGATTACAATGCCTAATCCTTTTCTTTGATTCAGCCATTTGTTCTTGAGAATAGCACACATGATGCTGGGTTCAGTGGAGAGGAAGGACATGTATCTTCCCGATCAGCGCCTATAACTGGATCATGTTTTCTTTCACGATCCATCTATCTTCAGGAAAACATTGCTGCCGAAAAGATCAAGGTGCATCACTGAGCCTGCCATAAAATCATTGTAGCTCCGGAAATGCACCTTCGGATATCAACTCATCCATGTTGGTATTGTCATCACCACCAGGTAACTGGTTCAAAGGCTTTATCATGTACGTGTTTTCCTTGACATCACCTTTGAGAAAAAGAAGAGAAGGATGCAGAGGAGAAGGATTGGGATTAAACTTTGTAATGTGATACGTCAACAGCTATCATTCGATATCATCCGTCAATTAGACCCTTTCTTACCTTCCCCCTTGCTTTTCCCCAGTTAATATGACCACGTTGTTTTATCGTTTTTGATATATGAAAGGGAGGAGGAGGTGAGTAGATGCTATCAAAAGCAGGGTGAAATAGCAGCAAAAAGACAAGAATGGTGATGTGAAGAAGCAAGAAGATGCATTTTACCCCTTATTGATTGGCACAGCGTCGTTCGTTTTGAAGTATATATCGAACAGCCAGCCATACGTAGTACTACTCTCTTCCCCCCCTTTACCCCTGATGCAACAAGATGGTCCGCCTTTCGTGTGTTGATGTTGCCGCTGATCTACTATGTACATACACTTGATGGGCGCATCACCATCGTATGTATCTATCCCCGTATAGCCAGGGATGCATACGTGTTTTTTCATTGCATTTGGCACTACAGTATCACGGAATCTTTATAAAAAGAGAGAGGATCTTGAATCCTTTGTGGTATTCCTAATGCCATTTTGAAGAATACACACCATGCAAATCATATCACTAACAGCCTTGTTCTTGCTACTATCGTCATTTCTCGTCACCTATACAACCCATGCAGCACCGGTATCCATCAAGCGTCGTGAAGATGATGATGATGACGATGGTGGTGATGATGATGATGGCGGAAAAACATACCATGGCCAAGCTACGTGGTTTGTCCCAGCCGACGAAGGTGGTCCTATCGGTGCATGTGGAGATCATGAAGATAGCGACTCGCTCATTGTTGCCTTGAATCATGACCAATATGGTGATATGGATGCAAAGAGCTCCTGGTGCGGAAAAAAAATTCTCTTGAAAGGTGACTTATAGCTGTCAGGCATTACATGGCGATCATCCTAACCTAAGGTCTTGTTCCTAGGTCCTAAAAGCTCCATGGAGGTCACCATCGTTGATGCTTGCCCTGGATGCGATTATGGATCACTTGATTTAACTCCTAGAGTGTTCAAGCATGTTGTTGGCGATCTAGATAAGGGTGTTGGGAAGATTTCCTGGCACGAAGTATAAAGATAGAAGCATCTTTTTATTTTCCTTAGCCGCCCTATTTACCAATCTGCTGTATCTACTACATATTATTACCAAAACCACCCCATCTATATGCCATGTACAAAGAAAACATCATCTTGCAGTAAACGAAATTTGATCCCAATACCACACCAGGTCACTTTAGCTAATGTTGATGTCTGAGCTTTCTTCTCCAAGATGCAAAAGGGTCGCGTGAGTAAACAATAGAGCAACAGCAGCAAGGGGCACAATTCAATATTCATATTTGATATATAATACTACTAAGACTATGATATACAAGTGAAGAATGGGATCAGTTGGACAAGATAAGGGTGACAAAATCGACATAATTGATACGGCCATCTTTGCCGACTTGGACTTCTTTGAGCAATTCATCGACTTCTTCTTCAGAAAGCTTTTCGCCGAGATTGGTCAAGACGTAGCGCAGTTCACCTGCTGAAATGGTGCCATCTCCTTCCTTATCAAATACTTGGAAGCCTTGGATAAACTCTTGTGATGTGCCTGCAGGCTTGAAACCATCGGGTCGCGTAAGGATCGTCAAAAAGGTACCGAAATCGATATCGACTTCCTGGCGTTCTGATCCACCCACGGATTTTACAAGTTCTAGTACTTCGGCTTGGGTAGGGTTCTGACCAAGACCACGCAACAAGTCTCCCAAGTTGGCAGACGATACGGTGCTGTTGCCTTTCTTGTCATACAAGGAAAAGCCTTCTTTCCACTCATCCAGTTGTTCTTGTGTTGGCTGATTGGTAGGACTCATTGGAAGCAGTGGAGGTGAAAAGAGTGAAAAAGAAGCGTACTATGAAACGAGAGCCGTTTAGCAACTGGAGCTAAAATACGCGTGTGCGGCATGTGCTGTGTGTCGTGTGTATGGGTGGGTGAGTGTGTGTGTATGTGATCATATGACACACGTTTGGCTGCCACCAGAGAGAGAGGAATTCATCAATTGAATTGCCGCCGAATGAATGCAAGAAACAGCATACGCACCTTTCTTCTACACTCCACCCTTCCACCCCCATGGACGCCGAAACTGCACGCAAGAATTGGGAACTGGAAAACAACATTGTCACCGTCGATCCAGCTCAAGATCAAATCTACTACTACGATGCACAAAAGAACAAGGACGCTCTCGAACAAAAGCCTTGGAAGACAAAGTACAGCCCCAGCAACAACTACTCCCTCTTGAACAATGGCTCATTAGTACCTTTTTCTCTGCCAGTCCAAACCATTACAAGCACGTCAAGATTTCAGCCATCGCACTCATAAAAATGGTATTTGATAGTGGCAGTGAGGTGTGTGGAAAGACCACTGATACGTCTTTATCAAGGTTATGCATGCGCGTTCAGGTGGCAATATCGAAGTGATGGGTCTGATGCAAGGCAAGGTGCAAGGCGATACAATGATCATTATGGATGCGTTTGGATTGCCAGTGGAAGGTACCGAGACGCGTGTCAATGCCCAGAATGAAGCATACGAGTATATGGTGTCATACATGGAACAAGCAAAAGAAGTAAGGGGGATCATGGATGGATAGGACACACATCATGCTAATATGGATTTGGTCTCTTAGGTTGGACGTTTGGAAAATGCGATTGGATGGTATCATTCTCATCCTGGATATGGCTGCTGGCTCTCGGGTATCGATGTCAATACACAAATGCTCAATCAGCAATTCCAAGAACCATGGGTCGCTGTGGTGGTAAGTGTGCGAATGAGCTTGATACAATAAGAGATTTGATTATTCAACATCATCATGTTGTATAGATTGATCCCAACCGGACCATGTCAGCAGGCAAAGTGGATATCGGCGCGTTCCGAACGTATCCCAAAGTAAGGAATGATGATGATGGTTTGGCGTTTTCAAAGTGTCTAATGCATGATGATAGGATTACAAAGCACCTGACGAAGGTCCATCACAATACCAAACCATTCCATTAAGCAAGATTGAAGATTTCGGTGTACACGCCAAATCGTAAGTTCTAGACAAAGTGATGGGATGAGAGGTAGTAATTGCTTACCCGAGTTTTTTAAAGCTATTACTCTTTGGAGGTTTCTCACTTTAAATCTGTGCTTGATACCCAACTATTGGAGGTGTTATGGAACAAGTACTGGGTCAATACGCTTTCACAATCTCCTTTGTTGACGGTATGTTTCTGCTTTCATACAAAAGGACATCGGCTTATTTATGTTGCATCCACCTCCTATTGTATTGTAGAATCGCGATTACTCCACACAACAAATGGCGGATCTAGCTCAAAAGCTCAAGCAGACCAACAATAGCATGACGGGTCGGATGGGAGGATATTACGGTGATCGTAAGAAGAATGACGAGAGCCAGTTGAGCAAGGTTACCAAGGACAGGTAAGTGTTCAAAAAGAACTTGGGAGCAAAAGCAAATGAAAAAGCTCACCTTCTTTTTCTTTGTGATACTTAGTGCCAAGATTTCTGGTGAAGCCATGCATGGATTACTTTCGCAAGTGCTCAAAGATCTCGTGTTCAATCAATCTGGTAGCCAACGCACATGAGCCCTTTTTACCCTGTGAATACAAAAAGATGATTGCTTGTTCCAAAATCAATCCACATGTTGACTTGTGTACATGTATTTGAGAGCTTGTTGTTGCGGCCATATGAATGAGGAAGATGCAGGAGGGAGGTTGAGTGTATAAAGTGACCATGGAGATATACATTCTTTTTGGGTTGAAGGGAAATGCAGGAACGGAATGGTCTCGATTGCACGTGCGGACCATGATTGAAAAGGATCGACACCTCGCCATTTTAGGATGGGTTCGGCTCTACAAACAAGGTTTGATCATGGTAATACAGAATGCGGATGATGCATCTTAGAGAGAGGGGGGGTTGATCATACACTATATATTTTTGCACATTTGGAACGTGTTCTTGGCTCTGAATTGTTGCATAGGTGCATCACTCATCCAACTTTGTTAATTGCATAAGCAGTGACGATGATCTCATTCCACCCACAAAGTCTTGACTATGTATCCTTTTACCCGACTGGATTTTGATGTATCCCCTTCATCCATGTAAACAATATGGGTGATTGTGTACGCTTTCCCCAGGGGCAAAAGATGTTCGATAACACTCAAATCCCACAGCGTTGGGAATGACAAGAATATACCTTGATGTTCCACAAAACAAACGAGAAGCATCTCCTTTATCAACAACAACAACAACAATTAGCACCCACATCCATGTGTCTATACGCAAACATCAACGAATTGTTGTGTATATATATTTTCTTTTTGGACATGATGATACATAAGTGGAGAAGAAGAAGGTAGTTGTCGAAGGCATGGGAAACAGGGAAGGAAAAGAAAGAGGAAGGAGTTGTTTTTTTGCATTACTGATACAAGGATGATTGTGTCTTTCTAACTCTTTCTCTCTCTCTTCAAGCATAAAAGGTTAAATAAACAAGCGTGTTATGTACAAGAGATTGAGGATAGAAAAGAGTGCGTGCGATGATGATGTTGATGACGGGTGTGGAAAAAATAAACGACAAGAGTTGTTATGTACAAAGCGTGGTTGCTGCAGCAGGCGACGAGCAATGTTGTTGAATGTGAACGTGAGAGAAATCAAGAGCGCTGTTGTTGTTATAAGGATGCTGTTGCTGTCAAAAGAGTACAGCTTTGCATCCTTGTGGGTGAATCCATTTAGAAAGGATGGGCACCAGGGATTGAAAGTGGAGCATAATCGGAAGAGTATCCATGGTGCTGGGGTTGCCATGATGGCAAATACGAAGGAACTGCAGCTGCTGTAGGTTCAGTGTGCGATAAAAAGGATGTTGGTTGACTAGGCACGGTTGCTTGATGGGGTGGTGGAGGTGGTGGTGGAGCTTGTGTCGGTGCGTAGGCAACTGCAGCTGCTGCAGCTGCTGCAGCAGATTGTTGTTGATGTTGTTGATGTTGTTGTCTCAATGCTTCACGCTCACGTTTTTGTTTACGCCATTGCTTTCGCAACTCTTTAAACTCTGCAGGCAATCGTTTCGGTCCCTATAAGCAAGTTGATTGGTGAGCTATTTTTTCTATTGCATAGAGTGGGGAAATACAAGCTTACGTGATTCTGCATCGAAACATGTGCATTAAGATGATTGAGTGTACCATAGGCCTAATAATTGGGGTAGCATGAGTATCGATGACATTGTTGTTTCACATGTAAAGGCATTTGTTTTACCTTTGTGCATCCTGGAAAGTTGCAATGATAAAGACGTTCCACTTCATGGTATTTACGTCTAGGTCGCTTTTTATGATTGACACCAGGGATGGGCACAAATGAAAATACTTTTTGAGAGGCTGAGGCAGCAGCTGCAGCTGCAGCTGCTGCTGCTGCTTGTTGGTGGTGTGGATGATGAGGATGATGAGGATGAGAGTGATCGTCAGCAGCCATTACAGCTGCAGGTGAAAGAGACTCTGTACACGAAGGTGGAGGTGAAGGGAGTTGTTGATGATGATGTGGATGAGCAGCAGCAGTTGTAGGTGGCTGATGATGAGGATGATGATGATGCTGAACCGGTGGAAACATAGCTGTAGACATCAAATTGGAAGGAACAACAGGTGTAGTAGTTGCATGTTGTAGTGGGATTGTTGCAGCAGCAGCGGCAGCAGCAGCAGTGGGGTCACTTGCATAACCATAATATGGGGTTGTTTGACGATAAACCATGGCATTGTTATTGGGAGTTGCTGACGAGATGGATGTTGGATGATAAACTTGTTCATTCATTGGACGTGTAGAAAGCGAAGATGAAGAGGTAGCAGCAGCATGTGAGAGAATGTTGTTTTGCTGTTGTGTAGAGGCCGATGATGAAGGTGGTAGTAATTGTGACAGGGGAGGTAGCGAAGGTGTAGGTAATCCAGCAGCAGCAGCAGCAACAGCAGCAGCAGTAGCCGAATCAGTGGTGGAAGTATACATGGCTTGCGGATAATAAGTGGGTGGGGATGACATCGAATAGTGAATGTGTGGAGGAGAAAGAATCAAAAGTAGAGTCGAGTACAAAGAAGCAAAAGAAAAAGGAGCTGGTTCGATTGAACAAAGCAGAAATTTATGTGTGAATGTTGTGAGTGTGTGTGTGTGTTGCATGTGCCTTTGTCTCTTTGTGGGATTTTTACTCTCTGCCAGTGACATATGGATATAGCAACGGCGCCAAGCTCTATATAGCAAGGGCTGATGCGATTAGCCTCGTTGCTCATAACCCAGGATCCAATGGTATTTTACTGCAGATGATCTGCGACGTCGATCCCGTTCAATTGCCCCGTCACTTTGTGTGAGGCGTCTCAATGTGCGCCCTGGTTACCTGTTTTGAGCCTAGTGTGCGAGTATTAATTAATGAGAGACACATTCGCTCCCCCAATCCACTTGCTGATTTTCTGGTTGTGATCTTCTTGGCAAACACACGCTCTTTTCCGCTTGAGAATCCGCTTGCAGAAAAAGGTAAAAAAAAAGATCGACGCCCTCGACTCTATTAAGCTTAGCGTTTCGGTGCACAGAGCTTGCATATCCCGAATGAGGCACAATCGCTGCCCTATCCCCAATGATCTCTCTTGGCACCTTGTCGTCGATCATTTTGACTAGAATAAAAGATACCCCTTCGCTGTTGATTCTTTTATTCCCCCAAACTCATTGGCTCCGCTCCAAAAGAAAAGAAACATCCTATTCTCCCACTCATATCTCTCTTCAACATATAATACCCACCCCCACCAAATCAAGTCAACATGTCCCTGTGACCTTGCTTATACAACGGTTTCTCCAATACTCTCCGCTTAAAGCTCTCAACCATTCATAATGAAGTGAGATATTGTTTGATAAATTGCCCATCCAATCACATCAAGAGCCAAGAAACAGTTGAAGATTTTTTGTTGCTATATACAGAATTTTTATATTCAGTAATGCCATGGTCCCAGCTACCAGCACTGGATGAATAAATGTGTGGATGTGTAGGTGAATGCATGCTTGTGTGTATGTTTTGGGGGAGGGATGAAGGGATGTAATCGAAAAAAGAAACATGAACAAAAGAGAAGGATATCGTTGCTAAGCGACGCGTGTGTGTGTGAATGTTGCTATGCCATATTGCTTGAATCCGTGCCTGCGGATGATAATGGTGGTGTTGTATTATTGGAAGATGGGATGACAGCACTCTTTGCAACCGAATTGCTTCTGCTAAGACATGAAGCACGTATCATTGGATACTCATCAGGAGTTGTAGGTGGCGACACGGGATTGCTGTTAAAGTCACTTGGTGGTAGTGTTTGTCCTGCCATACTCTGTGCCAGCAGAGCTTCGTTGGTTGTCAAGAGCGATTGTAGCTTGTCTGGATGGGCTTCCATGAGCGCTGCTTCGGATGGTTCAACAATAGGAGTGGGCAAAGTATCACGTAAATGCTCGAATTGCTGTTGTTGTTGCTGCTGCTGCTCCTGTTGTTGTTGTTGTCGTTGCTGTTCTTTGACAAGATCGGTGGACTCCAACCCTTGATTCGTCAAGTCAACTGATCCTAGCCATGCAATTCCGGCACCACTATCAATTGGCAAAAAAGAAAGAGAGATGAGAACCTGGCACTTTTATACGTGAATGTCGTAGTCATACCTTTCCTCCCATTCTTGACCCATCTTCTTCATTACAAGTTCAAGTTCTTCTCGTTGACGTTCTAATTCCTCGAGACTTTGGTCATAATCTGAAAGCGACTTTTCCATTGGAAGATAGGAATGATAGAAAGTATGTGTGTGTGCGTGTGTGTGGTGGGCGGGTTGACAAGGCACAGATGAAAGAAGGCGAAAATCTATTTTGAAAACAACGCTCCTATCCGATAACGCTTCCGTATGGTCTCCCGCCTGTGCGCCCAACCATGGACCACTCAAATGGCTTCCCAATTTGTTGGAATCCCTATACTTTATTCTATATTGTTCATCTTCATTGATATAAAAAGTCATTGACTCATATTTGCAATTGAACATCTTCATGATACGATTACAGAAGATAAAAGATTCAATTTATTCCACATACTAATATTGCAAACACAAGAACAAGATCGACAACAATGTCATTGCTATACTGCCCCTGGAGGAACGTAGTTCGCAGTGCAATGGGCACCCTGGATTATTCCATCGCCTGGGATAAGATTAACCAAAGCATGCCACATATAGGCGATGTATATACGATCCCGGTACTGTACGCGAACCTTGAACTGACATATAGGCTCCATGCAATTGGGTGCTAGCAAATTGAAAGTAGCTTCCACCTCGATATCTTCTTCTTCTTCTTCTTCTTCTTCTTGTTCTTCTTCTTCTTGTTCTTGTTCTTCTTGTTCTTCTTCTTCTTCTTCTTCTTCTTCTTGTTCTTGTTCTTCTTGTTCTTGTTCTTCTTGTTCTTGTTCTTGTTCTTGTTCTTGTTCTTGTTCTTGTTCTTGTTCTTGTTCTTGTTCTTGTTCTTGTTCTTGTTCTTCTTGTAGTGGTTGTTGTTCAACATCATATCTACTATCTTGTACCATCATTGTGATATCATAATACCATGGCGCAATGTCGTTGACCCATATACCGAAGTGGAAGTCACTCATTAGTTCTGGATCAATATCGAATTCTGGTGCTAGTGGAGGTAGTTCTTCTTCATCTTCAGGTTCTTCTTCATCCTCAGGTTCTTCTTCATCCTCAGGTTCTTGTGGAAGTGGTAAATCCGGCTCGTTAAGAAGCGCCATAAGGTCTTGGTTGAGTTGTTCTTCAACGTCTTCGGGGTCTAGTCCAAGCTCATTTGCAAGGTCTTGAATACCTCCGTCTTCTTCTTCAAGGTCTTCTTCCTCAAGGTCTTCTTCTTCAAGGTCTTCTTCTTCAAGGTCTTCTTCTTCAAGGTCTTCTTCTTCAAGGTCTTCTTCTTCAATGTCCATTTCTTCAAGATCCTCGCCGTCAAGGTCTTCTTCTTCAAGATCTTCTTCTTCAAGGTCTTCTTCAATGTCCATTTCTTCAAGATCCTCGCCTTCAATATCCTCTTCGTCAAGAGGTTCTTCTGCTTCTATTCGAGCATCTTCTTCAGCCTGTAATTCTGCTTGTCGATCTATTCCGGCAATATGATCTCTTCCTGGAAGCAAATATCCTGGTGGAGGATCTTGGCCAGGGTCCCGAATAGGAGGAACAGTGGCACCCATTCCGGCTTGTCGGAGTCGTTCGGAACGCCGTAGGGGTTCATCCGCAAGACGTGCCTCAGTACATGTCAATGCATGCTCTCTGATTACACCAGCATCGTGACTATACCCTCCACAAATGCATCTAAATACTCCATTGGGATGCACATTTCCTAGGCCTAGCTGAAGTCTACGACTAACCCATATGGACCAAACTGTTGTTGGATATCAGTAAAAGCGCACTCATCATAATCTATGATGCTTTATTGTGGTTCTCTTACATTCATCAGCTGCTACAAAATGTAGCAAGACGCGCATCTGGTGGGTTATTTCATGGACAGCTCTAGACCCACAACGGCGTACACAGTTATAAACCATTATTGGAAGGGAGATGGAAGCAAGGAGATGGTAAGATTTGATAAAGACAATAAGGGTTGGTATGTGTGATACAGTAATTGAATTGATTTTTTATTTCGATCATGCTTTTATACGTACTGAACAAGGTGGGTTACGGCATCGCTCATGGTTGCATTATCCTCTGAACAAACCACCATCAAATATTTTTAGAAGTACCAAAAGAGGGACAAAGGGACGACACAATTGTTAGCCCTGCGAATGTGGGGTGGTGATCACCTATGGTGTCATTGATAAGCTATGTCATTTATTCCATGGGATTGGTGCTCTTTGTCGTAACCATTGATGTATTTCGGCCAAGTATCGAGTAAAGAGGGAAGCACAAGATGATACGCCCTTTATATGCTGCCCATTGTGTGCTTATAACGCAAGGTAAGTAACGCATAATGAAAGCTGGCCATGTGATGAGAAGGGGGGTACTGTATATTTTCGTTCCTTCCTTTTCGAGTCAGTATCGGGTGTATTTATTCAATGCTTGATAGGAAAAGTGGTCCTGATGGGTAAATAGAAGAAGGTGATGCTGCTAAGTAAGAGGGAAAAGAACGCGCTGCAATAAATCTTACTAATGTGAATGCTTCGAGGCATGAGCAGAGAATACAAGTATCACCGAGTATGCAGGATAGTATAGAACCATGAGCAGATTACCCCATATCACCTCTTTTCGCCATTGTTTCAATGTTATCTTAACCACCAAATAAGGAGAGATTCTCACTTTTATATAGAAGCCAAAAATGGCGTCACTTGAGAAAGTCGAAATAGCACACGATAGTGTATGTAGATGTTTATCAAGTAAAGATGACAAAGGAAGAGCATTGTAAATTAAAATAAGATACGAGTGGATCATGGAAGAATCAGTAGGGTTAACTATATTCTTGGCTGCTGCCATCATAAACATCCTTCATCCAATGTTGCAAAATAGCTGCTGCATGCATTGTCTCGAGGACACCAATATCATCCATGGTTGTAAAGCACCCTTTGCCAAAGATAAAAGCCTTCTCAACAATCCCAACCAATCCACCATCATCCTCAGCCGTATCCACGTGGTATGATCCATCCTTCCTGCTGACGACGCGCCAAGTAACCAAAGCAACATTCCAGGATTTGTTTCTCATCGCTGCACTTGATTGCATCCATCCATCATAAACATTTCAAGTTCAATATTGCTGCTGATCCTTCTCCATTGGTCAATCTCTTTTTTGGTCCTTTTCCATCGCAGCTCAACAAGATGAAGATTGCTTGTATTGCGGCGTATTGATATGGCATCATCCATAGGAGTCCGTGCGTATTGAAGCAAGTTGCTACACGTAAAAAAGCTGTCTCTATATACAATGGCTTTCTGCTGTTCACGTGAAGAAGGCTGCGAGGCAAGTTGCTGCAAGTAAAGAACGCTGCTTGAGACCTTGTAAATAGCAGCTGCTGTTACGTTTGGTCGTGGAAGAGGGAAGTGCAAGAGCGTCTGTTGTAGTAGAGTGTCAAGGCTGCGAATGCTGTTTGAGACAATGGAGTAAGGCCTTGCTAGTAGCAATTGCTGGAATGAATGCTGTTACGTTTGATTGTGGTCGAGGAGCGTGCAAGAGCATGTGTTGTGTCAAGAGACTCGTGTGTTGTAGTAGAGTGACAAGAAGGCTGTGCCATTGAGTCACAGGCAATCGGATCAAGGCCATTGTAGAATTGACATGATGGGTTGAAGCAGGACAATCGTTCGCTGGTGGTAGTTGTACTTGAATGGGGCCAACAGTTGAGAATGGGAGGAAGAGAGAAGGGCTGAGAGTGGAAGAGCTAGGAATTAATCAAGTTGAATGAAACTTCTTTGTTTGAGCGTTGCTCAGTCAAATCCCCTCGGATCAAGAAAGTTAAATGATGGCAATGATGGGCTGGAGCAGGACAATCGATTACATGCATTGATTTTGGGCAATAAAGGTGAATGGGATGAATGGGCTATTAGCTGGCAGTTTACAAATAACTTTGCAAAATGATCTTTCTCATATTGGGCGATACTTCTGTGTTCGGGCGTTTTTCAGTCAAATCTCATCGGATCAAGAAAGTTGAATGATGGGCATGCTGGGCTGGAGCAGGACAATCGTTCATATGCATTGGATTGGGAAACAAAGGTGAATGGGGGGAAGTGACTACAAGCTGGCAGTTTACATAAAGAATTGTCGGTATTACATGATTTCAACAGCATTGTGTCTTAGTTGCAGGATAAAAGTAGAGACTTGGTTACATATGCAACAATGAATTCACTAAAGCTTGGTAATGATGTTGGCATCGATACACACATACCACGACAACATTGATAGATAAGATGAGCACACCATAACAACATCACTTGGCTCATGTGTTATCATTTTCAATTACATACAAGATCAATCAAATGCTACTTGATAGTGCGTTACAGTATCAGACATGCAAAGACAAGGATGTATGTTTAATCGAAGAACATGGTTTATTGGTTATAATACTAGAATAAACAAGCAGCTGTTGGTTTCCTAAAGCCAAGGCTGAAGTACTCACAGGGATGACCAACGAGAAGGTCGCTACTCAACCATCCCCAACCTCTACCTGTAGGCACCAATTCCAGGTCGACGAGGCCGCTTGCACATGCCACTTTAAGGTGCCGGGACTTGACGCGCCAAAACCTCGTTTGGAAGAACCCATGCTTGTGTCCTTGAGATAGAAAAGTGTAGCATGTTTTTGGTGAGCGAGAGCAAATAGGTGGAAGAATACTTATCTTCCCTCCTAGTTTCCTTCCAATGAATCCTTTGGCAATACCCAAACAAGAGCCACTTGTTGGTATCTTTGGATAGCGGTCTTTTATTAGTGCACCCTGGACACTGCTACCGGTCTGCGTTTCGTCCTCGGCCAAACGCCCATACAACACGCCGACACGTAGTGGGCAGCCAGTTTACGAGGAATGGCCAACATCCTTGCTACCTCCGTATCAAGATCTGCTGGGATTCATGGAAGCCTTGTGTGGAAACCGGGCTGGTGAGGGGCGGCAAAGAGTTTCCAATGCACACCATTAGGTCCCCCGAGTCGCTGCAAACAAGGCATGGTGAGTGTTACAAGCAACACAACGAAAAGATAGAAACAACTTACTTTGGCCAAAACATCGTGATAGTAGGAAAAGCACGCACGCCATGCGAGTCGATCGACTGAGTTGAGAAGAAAAAGGTGGAGGTTGCCAGGGTGATCCGCAGCAATTTGTTTCTGGTCGCGACGCAGCTGAACTTAAAATTGAGGGGTCTCCATGGACCCCCTCCACTCATAATGGCTAAGGCGCCAGACTTTGATTTTCGCGGCTTGAGTCGGGAGCTTCTACACAATACCACTTGCCCCAAAGTCATAACGTGTTGCTCTTGTACGTTATTATTATGGATATAGTTCCAGTAAAAGTATAGGGTATTCAGGAATAAAAGCATCGTTAATATACATCATCATCGTGTACTGCTGGTATTGTTGATCCAGCATTATGTATGTGGCTCTCAAATAGCAATGCCCATCCAACGAATGCATCATGAATAAAGAGTGGTTCTCTGCTTGAGGCAACGTGAATTCTACATTACCAATCAAACACATACCCATACACTATCTGTTTTATTTCATTGTGCATGCCCCTCGTAACTTTCTAACCCGGCTGTGAAGGCATCAAGCATGGTCCGTGCGCATCATTTTTTATTCAGCTCGACACTCCACAGAATCCAAATGCGATATGGAGCCACCACTATTGCCATACACAAATCTTGACGCACCTTCACTATTGGATGTTGTATACTTACTTACCTTCCTCAAGGCAAACATGACCATGATCCATTTGTGCAACAATCTGTCAAGGACGCTCGTGTGTAACTACCACGTGTCATTACACTCAGCAGCTCTTCATCTTTCCGTTAATGCAGCCGACACCATCCACTAGGAAAAAGCAGCTCCATCACGCTTACAGCATAGGTAAACATAAAGGTGCCTGTATCTCCAAACGTTACAATGAAATGTGGGGTTTTTATTAGAGCAATGGGCTCGGCTTGGCCAACAGCACCTTGTGTGAAAGTTTCACGTTCAATGTCCCAACTAGCCCCAAAAAAATTTTGGTCGTTGTCGTCGAAGAGGTCGACCCCCAGATCCAGTTTGGCCGGTAGCGACATTGCGAAATATGGGATTGGCAAGCTTGATCGTGAAACTTTCACACAAGGTGCTGTTGGCCAAGCCGAGCTCATTGCTCTAATAAAAACCCCACATTTCACCGTAACGTTTGGAG